AATTAGCGACTAGCTGGTGAACATAGTGGAGCATTTAGCAGCTAGAGAGCCAGATGGTAGTTAATGGGGTTTTTGGAGACTCAAAACAGAACAAAAATGTGAGTGGATATTGGATTTACATTCACCAGGTAGAAACAAACCAGACTTCAATTGAATGATAATGTTTCCCTTTATCTGCTGGCTGTTTGCAGAGGCAAACCGTATCAACCTAAAAGCTGATCATATGTCACTTTAGATTTAGATTTCTATGTATCTTTGATAAATTAGTTCTATTTTTTCATCTCAAGTTAAATGTAATTATACTGCATAACCGGTTCTCTTTTGTTACTTTTTTATTCATCTATTAAAGATGCCAAAAAAGATTTCTTTGTTTTTGCATACCCAGATCAACTATACAGTACTGAAGGTTTGCATCCACAAGATTAAGCACATCTAATGTCAGAATTTAAGTAAAAATCATGTGCTGATGACGGTGTCAATGAAGATAAAATACTAGAGATGTCTGCAGACATATCCACTTTATCCCCAGCCTTTGTATTGTATGTGTATGTGTGTGTGTGTGTGTACCTTTCTCATGCTCTCTCTGGTCATTGCAGGTGTGAAAACCCACGTGTGTTCAAGCTGGGCTTGATCTCAGGGATCTGGTGGGCGTTGGCTCTGCTTTGCTGGATCAGTGACAGGATATTCTGTGAAATGTGGTCATCTGTCAACTTTCCCTACTTACACTGTGCTTGGTAAGCTCACAGCCGACTGAGAAAACTGAGCATGTATTGACACTATAAGTGAAATTAATGTAATTAAAATGCATGCATTTAGACTGCAAACATATCCATCTTATCTTGTGTGTAACTTAATTCTAAAAATCTTTATTTTCTTGAAGCAGTAAATCTGAATAAATCTGCCAGTGCAGTCAGATAATATCAACCGGTTAAAACTATGTTTTTCATTATTTTCCAGAAATGATGGTCTGGATTTTGAAACATAAAAAATAGGGAAGTTGAGCCACTAGAATCAAGAAAAATTACACTATATTGGCAAAAATAAAATTTTGCTAATTACTCCAAAAGTGTATTTGCATTGGAAACAAGCTGAAATGTTCTGATTGCACTGGACTGCACTTTTTTGCTTGTTGTAAGAAAATGAGATTGTAAACACTCATTACAGACTAAAACAACCTGATGAGAAGGAGATTTGTTCTGCAGACATTGTTAATCTTGCACAGATGCACCTGCAAACACCCAGATATATTTAGTGAACCATTTATCAAACTGTCTGGTTCATTCAAACTCCTCTTGCTTTTACAGGCACATCCTTATTTGTCTAGCCTCTTACTTGGGTTGCGTTTGCTTCGCCTACTTTGACGTTGCAACCGAGGCCCCGGAGCGAGGACCCGTCATCATGTTCTGGCCCAATGAGAAATGGGCCTTCATCGGTGTGCCGTACGTCTCCTTGCTCTGTGTCCACAAGAAGTCTACGATCAAGGTGACTTAAAGTGACCTGAGTCTGCTGCTCAGCTGGTTGTGCTTCCACACTTCTCCCCAGCATGGTTTCAAACAGCATGGCAACAAGATGCACCACCACGTCTGTGAGTCGGGTGACGTCCAATGGTGCTGTAGTGACTCTATGACGTAGGTGATGCACATTTTGGCCAACTGCAGGGATTAATCTTTTCCTTGTTCCTTCCCTGGTCTGGTCTTCATTACACACCAGTCTTTATGCAACTCTGTCAAAGAACAAAAGGTTTCACAAAATGAGTCTAACATGACACAGAATGACTTTTTAAGTAACACAGTATCAAAGCCAAGAAACCTTTACAGTGTTCCAAATGCATTCTCAGGCTTCACATGAGAGATCATGTAATCTCTTTAAGAGTCAAAATATTATTGGTATCATGCATTTCAAGCTTCTTTCAAGAGAAGATTTTGTAACCTCATTATAAAGCATTATATTGCCTTTATAAACATAAATATAGCACCTCATAGGTGCAGTCTGGCCGTTATGAAACCATGTTTAGAAACAATAAATTACTGGATTCATTAACTGTGATTAATAATGCATTATTTACTAATGCATTAAAACTCGAAGTATCAACAAGCTGGTGCGTAAGATGTTACAGAAGGTAATTCACACAAAGCCTAATGTATTTCAAATACATAATGGGTTCATGCTGTTACACCTGCTCTTTGTGTCGACAGGTATTTTGATGAAAGAAACCCAGAAAAACACAATACTTCTTTCTATTATGGGTGTGCTATGTTTTTCTTCCAGCATGCCACAGTGATTGTTCAAGATAGTATATGAGAAATGTTTAATATATTCCTGTCTGTATTTACTAACAGCATAATATGCAGTTATTTTCCTAGGAAAAGCGTATCATTGAGATATTACTGAATGAATAGGTACCCCTTGATACTGGCCAAAATCCAAAGTAAAAAAAAAAAAAAAACAGAATGTAAAAATCAAAATGTATTAAAATACAATTGACAATTCAAGTAAATAATTTCTTATTTTGCACAAAATGAAAAATGGTTCTCAAAGCCTTTTGCTTGCACAGTATATAGCACTTCAGAACATGACAATTACAATTATTTACTCCAAAGTTACCTAGTTCATGCACAGCTTTTTCACTCAGACATCTCATCTCTTCAATTGCTCTTCAGGGTTATTTATCCCAGCCTCAGTATTTTAGACATTGTGCTAAATGTCAGTGAAACTATTTAAACTGTGCAAGAAGCCTTAATCAAACAGAATAATGGATTAAAGTTTCACAATTTGTGATGTATACTTTGCATTCTTAGACACTGTTGGCTCTAAATGGAGAAAAACAGTCAGTTAACAGTCAGTTAACATTAGGTAGTAAATGGATGAGATGTGTAGTTTATAGCAGGGGAAATAATGGGACAAGTTAGGATTTTATTACCTCTGACCTAAAACTAACATGCTAATTTAGCAGCAAAAAAAAATTATTGAGACTCTCTATGTAGAGTTAAAAGGGAAATATGTTTGGGTGTTGCAAAGCAAAACAGTAACCCTAAAAGACAAAGATTACCAGAGCTTTTTCACCTCAAACCATTGTTGTACATGTTGTTCTTAAAAGCTGCCTCAAGCTGTTTAACTAATATTATTTTACTCCTGTCCTCCTGCTGAGGCTTCTGGGAACTCAGACCCCTAAAATAACTTGTACTTGCATGAAGGATGAAATGAAGGATTATGATTTACAAAGAAAAACAACTATTTTCTTGAGATTCTGAAGTGATATTTTTTAACAACATGAAGTATTTTGTTAAATCCAAAAACCATTTATATTTTTGTAAGTGAAGTGCAGCCAAAATCTAAGCAACTGCCTAAATGGTGAATTATTTTGATATAGTATTATTCCTACATTTGTGTTGCCAAACATTGTTGCAAACCATTTCTTTTTTTATTGTAACTTTAGGAATAACTTTGGAAACAGTATTGATAGCGTGAACAGAGTAGTTGTAGTGCCAAGAATACTTCGATTGTGCTGCAGTAATATACTGAATCATACATCTGATCCATGGTGGTGGTTGTTTGCATGATGCAGAGAACAAGAAAAATGTAACAAGTTGAGAATTAGCATCAGTGAATTAGCATCAGTTAAAGGACTTTGTGTGAACAGAAGAGTCTGTTTAATGCTGCCCTCGTGATGTTTGTCTTGGCAAGAGGGATGATTATGATCTCATAACAATGACTTGTCTTTTTTATGGACTTACGTGTGTCTATAAATCTCATTTGTTTTCTGCTTGCATTGACAATACAGACAAACTGCACAGAATATTTATTTTCATAATTTATCCTGTTTTGTAAACAAATATTTGTAATAGATTAGAACATACTTTTATTTTATGCAATAAACCAAGCCTCTACTCAGAATGACCAGTGGTGTTTATTTTGTAGATCAATATTCACCTCCATATTCACAGTCAGTTCCTATACATTTTGTAGCTTTATGTGTATTGTATTTTACATGAATTGAACAATGTACAGACTCACTATGATGCAGGAGACAGTTTCTGCCACCAGGGGTCAAAGTTCTTTCACTTTGCCTTTATTTCTCTCAGCACTGAGAACCCATGAACAGCCTTCAGTTTTCAGTATAAAACAAGTTAGAATAGTCAAAAATATGTGAATAAATGAATACACAAAGACACCACTGCTTGCCACAGCAGACTGTCTGAGATTTTACAAAAGAACTTACAAATGTACAGACTTCTAAAACATGTGTGTTTGGACTTATATGTATGTGCCCCTGTAAACATGCTTCTTCGTGCTTCAACACCCACCTTTCAAAACCCCACAGACACAGACCTCATACGCTGTGACTAATTGTGTCTTTTATTCCAATTCATTTTAGCACAGTGTAGTGCTAAATATAAAAGCAGATGTAAATGTAATTTCTCTTGGGTTCATTATGAATATCAGTTTTAAGTATCTTTTTAAAAATAAATTACAGATGTTAGAAGGTGTGAAAGTGAAAGTGTGTAAATTGTAAATTATGAAATTAATAATCATCAATTCATGCAGTCAAAAAATATAACCATGATATTGTAAAAAATAATCTTTTTTTTTTTATTAAATGTTATTTTATTTAGCTTGACAATGACAATAATGAGTGATTTAATTTTTTTGATTATTTCAATTTCAATTTCACGGTTTTGTTATATGTCATCTGTATCCATTATTTCATTATTATTTAACTTATTTTTTATACTTATTTTATCTTTTATTTTTATTTTATTTCATAATGTCCAATTAATTTATAAAAAAAACTATTTTCAGGCTTTACAGGCTAATATGTGCTATAAAGTTTAATTCTATAATCTTATTTAATAAATTATACTGATAATGATAAATGATTAAATATCACGGCATGCTGTATTTCATGGAAACTTGAGGGCCCTCTGCTGGAGGAAGTCCCGCCTCTTCTCACAACTAAACACCCTCATTGGTTCCCACACACGTCAATCAAATAACAGCCATGTCTAGATTATGGGTCAGATAGAAGACCATCGGTTTCGATCTGTTTGACTTCAGCGGATTCATTTCACCGTTTTACCTTTGGAGGTTTTAACTTGGATAAAGTGACACTGACAGAAAACGCGCTCCCGTGTCGCTTCATCTGCGCCTTTTGTCAGCGGAGATACAACATCATGTTTGCCATTAGACGCGGAAACAATTGACGGCGCGTTTTGTCGAGCCTTAAAAAATAAAAGGGTGTTTCTCACAACCAGGCTGTCAAGCACACAGAGGGACCATAGATGTGATTCCTTTCCTCAGCGGGCGGCGTTTGAGACAGAAAAATGATGTCAGGAAAGCATTTCAAGGCTCATGAAGTGAGCTGCTGCATCAAGTATTTCATCTTCGGATTCAACATCATATTCTGGGTAGGTCCGCTGTTTGCTGTTTGCTGTTTCAGGCCTGGTGTATCCTCAGCTTAACACATTGACATGACATGTTTTTGTTCTCCATCAGCAGTAGCTTTAACGTCTAATTCTTTGACAGTCGTGGCCTTTATTTTATTTTGTTTTATTTTATTTTTTGCCCTTCTGGTTTTCACGGGTGGCTTCATCCCTGCAGTGTAGGCTCCATGCTCCTGTGCACTTGCTCCCACTGTCAGCTGTCAGCAGGCTTTTTGTTTTTTGCTCCGTGTTGTTGTCAGCGTTTGAGGAGCTCAGATGAAAGGGCTTTCCTGACTGTCTGACAATATCGTGTGTTTGCTCATCTGAGGACATTTGATTTGTGTCAGTGGTGTTTGGATGGGGGCAGTGCAAAGTGTACTTAGAGCAGTCATGTCCATCCCTGGTCACCCTGTGCTCAGCAAATAGACACAACAACATCTCCTCTTGTGGTTTGGACTCTCCAGTAACCCCATCAGGAATTTCTGGAAGTCCCGCTCTGGGCCTCCAGTTACCAATTTAAATACTTCTGTTTTACTGAGGAGAAGAAGATGGGTCAGACATACTTTCTAAATGTATTGATAGTGATAGCAAATGGCTTTAGGAATTCCATTTATTAATGCTAAGTATTATATATGTTAATGTGAAAGAACGTCTTGTTTGAAGGCAGCTGTGGGTCATAGCTGAAAAAAAAAATGTTGTAAAACTAACTGACAACTATTTTGATAACCGTTTAATTTTTTCAAACCATCTTTCAACTAAAAAACACTAAACCTTTGATGGTTCCAAGTTCCCAAATATGTGAATTCACTTCTTTTGTAGGTCATTACATTAAATTACTTTGTGAGACAAAACAAGACATGACATAGACCACCTGATTAAACGCATAATCCTGTTCAAAATTCAAATTGTTTAGGTCTGCGACTACTACATTGTTTCAATAATGATTATTCTACCAATTTTTTTCATTAAGTGTTCAAGTGTTTAGTCTACAAAATGTCCGAAAATGAAAATGTTCACCACAATACTCTAGAGGTAAAGGTGACTTCTTGTTTTGTCTGATTAAAATGGAACATATTTAATTTACAATGAAAAGCAGCAAAACGTCACATTTGAGAAGCTGGAACCAGAGAAAGTTTGCCATTTCTGCTTTATGATTGACTGAAATGATTATTTTGCTATTAATTAACCGATGAACCAGGTGGGGGTTGCTAGTTTGGCTTATCCAGTAAATTAAATACCTGACAATTACACACTGCAGTCCTGCTTGTTGATTTGCAATAAAACGCCTGTGTACAGTATAAACACTGATATGCAGCATATCATCATATTGCCTAACCCTGTCTAGTGGTGCCAGTATGTTTTGTGGCCTTTCATGAACCCTGTAGTGGAAGGTCACCTGTCGGGCCCTACAGAGTTTGTCAGCAGCCATGCATTCAATGGGCCGTCCACCAGTCATGCATCACCAGAGGAAGTCTGTGTCAAAAGCATCTGTTCCTCTTTCCTCTGCATCTCTTTCATAAATAATCCCTTGGAAAGTTAATTTGCAAAGTGCTTTTTGTTTATTTAGGGGGGAATTCTTAACTATGATTCACGGGTTTAATAGAAGGAGTTAACATTAGTTCTCTAAACAGCATCATTACTCGTGAACTTGGTGGTTTTTTGGGTAGCCTTGTCTAGTGGGTTTAGTTTGTTTTTATTCTTGCTATGAATCGTTCCTAACCTTAGTTGGAAGTACATTTTATTTATTAAGTCAAGGACCAAGTCAAATCACATTTACCATTTCTGTTGATATTTGAATGACAGATAAGTCTTACAATGTCAAATCCATGATATACAAACTGTGTGTTCAAAGTTTGACAAAACAATATAAATACCAGGTACAAATATGAGCCTGAGCTTATGTCCATCTCTCACAGTCTTCAGATACTCTGGTTCTGTTGTTATGGAGAGTTGTCATGACAATATGTTCTGACATCCTACAATTTTGTATGTATTAAAGCCACCACTTCAGTGTTTCAATTATAAATCTTACAACTAACCAAAGAGATAAAAACTCCAACTATGTAAATTTAGTTACCCCATCTATCAACATGACGCCCATCAAACACGTTTGGTCTGGACTGGCCATCAGATCTACCAGGACAAATTGTGGTGGGGCGCCACATCTGTGGGCCCGTAGACCATAAAGTTTTTAGCATCCCTGTCAGTCTCCTCACCGGCCCTCTCTGTGTGCCTGTCATTCAGAGTGTGATGTCTTAAAGTTGCTGCTGTTGTTTGATACGAAGAAGAGTAAGCAAATCTCACTTCTGTATAATTAGAAAATTGGTGTTTTAATACATGAATAAAATGACTGATAAATTACAAAATTATAATCATTTAAGTATTATTCTTCTAGGCTGTTATAATTATAGTCAAGTCTAATTTCTGTGCTTCATTTCAAAATAAAAAGCCTAAGAGCCATCTGAAAAATGGCATCAGTGTATTGATTCCTAACTTGAAACATGGTTTTGAACTCTTCGGCCCTGATCAGACAAGACAGCCTTTGTTTTCTATAGGCAGTAAATGTCCGTGAGCCTCGTGTTTTTAGATGCTCTTAGCTGTTTAAATATGCTTTCTAATGTGGGAGTCTCCTGCTGATACTGCAAACTGAGATGAGAAATATTTAGTAATGGACCGCTGCCAGGAAAACCTCCTCGGTTTCTTTCTCTGTGCTTCTGTGTGATGACTACATGTCTTAGTCACAGCAAAATAATCCTGCTCTCTCATCCCTCTTGTCTCTCTCTTCTTCTCCTCTTTCAGTTCCTCGGAGTAGCATTCCTTGGCATCGGGCTGTGGGCATGGAGCGAAAAGGTACGTTTTATGCACTTATTCATTGTGTGAATCTTTTCCCCTTATCGACATCTGCAAATCATTCTTAAACTAAGCGGATCATTTACATTCACCACTTGTCGTTTACGCCCATCTGTCTGCACAAAATGGAAGCAGTGGCTTTACTGAATCAGAAAGGAATGTCATGCTTTCTGGTGGGACACCCCTCTGAACAATGGACTGAATGTATCTGATGCATTTCACAGATTCATTCATGGTGTACCCCTTCAGTACTAGGAGTATTAGAGGTTATTGCTTCATCCTTCACACATGGCTGCAACTAACTATTATATTAATCTGATGATTGTTGTTGTGATTATTCAAGTAAATGGTCAATAAAATGTCAGAAGATAGTGAAAAATGTCATTCACAGTCCAGTAAGCCCAAGGTGACGTCTTCAAACGTCTTGTTTTGAATGATCAACACTCCAAAACCCAGAGATTCAATTTACACTGATATAAAAGAAAACACAAATCTTCTGATATGCAAATTTGGAACCAGAGAAATAAATTTATTTAAATATTGTCTGGATAAAGATGAAGATTTAAAGTTAATAAGGCATAGTTCAGTTCAGAAAGGAGACTGTGCACTTAGGACCATCTCCTATATGTGTGCCACATGGGTTTCGCCACACCTTTAGGAGACCATCGGCAAGTTTGAGTCTATTCACTCCAATAGGAGAAGTGAACGTGATCACAGATTATGACCGATTCCTTCGCCCCATAGTCAACGAAATAAATATCGGACCTAACCATAGATCTTCCCAAGATTCGGACACTAAGATGCAGTTTTTCAGACCGACAGATCAGGAGAAAATTAACCTTGTTCGAGTCTTGTCTCTGTCTCATCAACAAACTCAAACTCGGGATCTCACAACACACATCTCTCTTCTCTGTGTCGGGTCAGGTTTCACTGACGCAGCACTGCCGACAGCGTCTTCCAACTGCATAAGCAGAAGTTAAGAGGGACTTCTACGTGAAACCATGAATTAAAACTGGAATAAAACTTTATCAGATACTAAGCTAGCAGATAAAAATGAGTCAGGCAGAGTCAGGTACAAATTCATACTGTATTCGGTCTCGTATTGTTTTGACATGAACAAACAATCATGACCACGCCCACTCAGGAGACAGGAAGTGTATCCCATTTTATACCGTTGGCGCTGCTTGTAGTTCGTCATCTTTGGTGTAGAGTATCTTTGGATCGTTGTCTGTACGTTAAATATGAAACTGGAATCAGCCACCGTTTAGCTTAGCTTAGCATAAAGACTGGAAATAGGGGGGAACAGCTAGCCTGGCTCTGTCCAGAGGTAACAAAATCCACCTACCCGTGCTTCTAAAGCTCACAAACCGACACATTATATCTTATTTGTTTAATCCAATCACAAACTGAAGTGCAATGGGTTATGTGCTGGCTTTTTAATGGCTTAGAGTGGTTGTCTGGCAACCAGTGTGAATCTACTGCTCCCAGCCAGGAAATAGTCTCCCCCATAAAACCATAACTTTTTATTTTTATACTTGTTTTTACGGATTAAACAAACAAGCTACACATGTAAATTAATGATCTTTTGAGATGCTCAAAAACTCATTAATTAACTGAGGTGCAAAGCTAAGCTAAAAGGCTGCTGGCTGCTGTTACATATTTACCGTACAGATGTGAATGTACCAATCGTATTCCCTTACTTAAGAAAAAAGAATTTTACCTGCCTTTATTAAGAACAGAAGATAAGACAATTCTTCTAATCTCCTTCCTCTAATCCTCCTTCTAACAACTTTCTCTTGCCCCCTTTTGCTTCCTCACCAGGGCGTTCTCTCTAACCTCTCGTCCATCACGGACCTCGGGGGTTTCGACCCTGTCTGGCTCTTCCTTGTGGTGGGTGGTGTCATGTTCATCCTTGGATTCGCTGGTTGCATCGGAGCTCTGCGAGAAAACTCTTTCCTGCTCAAGTTTGTACGTTCCCTAAATCCTTCGTCAGAGATGTTTCTGTCTTTCATAATAACATTTGTTAAATCCAATGAACTGCTTGTGTATTTTCAGTTCTCTGTTTTCCTGGGTATCATCTTCTTCCTGGAGCTGACTGCAGGAGTCCTGGCCTTTGTCTTCAAAGACTGGATCAAGGACCAGCTCAACTTTTTTATTAACAACAACATTCGGGCGTACAGGGACGACATTGACCTGCAGAACCTGATAGACTTCACCCAGGAATATGTGAGCACTCTTCTTTCTTTATCCTAAGTACTGATTTCAACCCATGCGTTGTTTTTACAGAATCAGAATGTGAGAATCATGGTTGTTCATTCCTGTGGGAAGTAGTTGATGTACATGTGACGGTTGGTTGGTTGGTTGGTTGGTTGATTGGTTGGTTGTCTGTTTAACCTTGCAGTGGGAGTGTTGTGGAGCTTTTGGAGCTGATGACTGGAATTTGAACATCTACTTCAACTGCACCGATTCGAACCCGAGTCGAGAGAAATGTGGAGTGCCCTTTTCTTGCTGCACCAAAGATCCAGCGGTATGTCAAGTAAAATTTTATTTATATAGCCCAATATCACAAATAAGAAATTTGCCTGAAGGGGCTCAACAATCTGTACAGCATTACTACACACTCTGTCTTCAGACCCTTGAATTAGACAAAGGCAAAACTCACCAAAAAACCCTTAAACCTCAGGAAGAGCAACAGAGGAGGAAGCCCTCTATCGGAACGGACAGACGTGTAATACAGGTTGTGTGTACGGAATAGAGCAACAAATAGATTTACAGTATGGGGACAACATTATAGATTGTAAAAAATTATGTATAATATGATCTGGGAGGACATTGAACAACTTCCAGGTGCTGCCAACATACAGGACCAGAGCCACACGACCTCCTCTCCACCATGAAGACCTGGAAAGAGAACAGACTTCACAAACATACATGAAGCAAAACCAAGCAAATCACATCACTCGTATGTTTAAGAGAAGGAAACAAACACACAGAGGGAGAGAGAGAGAAAGAGAGAAGGAGGAGGAGGCTTGGACTCCTGGAGGACGAAGAACCAGAACCAAAACATCTGGAATCAGGCAACGACAGCCAGGAGAGGCTCCCAGGACGGCCGATTGGGGGGGGGGTCTTTACATTGCTGACAGTTGGAGGGGAAATTGTGAAGGTCCTCTCTGTGACGGAGTCGGGTTATCTGTGTCCTGCAGAAGGCTGGCTGATGTTGTCAATCATGGCTGACTTCCAACAGGACGTCCAGGCCTCAGTGTTTAGTCCTCTCACACTCTGCCAGCGCAGCAAAGTCTGGAAGCGGCTGGGAGGAGTTACCTTGACCAAGGCAATATTTTTTTTTTTTTTTTTTTGGCAGAAAAACATGCTCTCTGTTTAGAGCAGTGACAACACTCTGCCGCAGCAAAAACAGACTTGCTTCACTTTCACTAATGAAAGTTGCACAAGAGTGTTTTTTTTATTTTTTTTTATTTGCTGACCTAAGGATGTGCTGTTCCAACGAGGTCATCCTCTTTGAGGGCAACACTTCATGACAATTAGCATCAACAGAAAATGGTCGTTGAATCACACAATGTTCCCAGAGGTTATCACTTGCGCTGAACACTGACTTTTTTTTTTTTTTTGGTCAAACCAACGGCAAGGCATTTTCAGTCGGAGCCTTCAAGAGTTTAGAGCTGCTTGACAGAGAAGTACTATATTGTTGCTATATAAATTACACCGCCTTGCCTTTAAGTCCTTGAGGCCAAGTCCAAATCAAATCACATGTCTTCATGAACAAATTGCAAAACAGTTGCAAGTGTTTCAGGTCTCTGACTGCTGACTATTAAAATGACACATAATTCAAAGGATGGGGCTGACATTTGTCTATATTCGTTTTACTGTCATCAAATACTGTAGAAAGATTAATGAATGTGTTCATTCATGCTTTCTGACTTCCCTGCCTTGTTTATGGTTCTCAGGTCATTTATATCCTATCAAAGAACTAAATCTATCAAATGAAAGGGTCCCAAATATATAATTTCATTAAAAAGGCTTCGTAATTTCCTATAACTTGGTACTGTTGTTTTCAGAAAACCTTACTCAAACAGGAGTTGATAGTGTTTTTAATAGTTTTTGTACAACAGTGGAGCTCAATGGCACAGAGGAATAGGCTACATCATGCTTTGGCTACACAGACAGTAGTTATTTGTTTTCTTAAGGGAGTTTGTCCTCATCTGTTTCGAGGGTCTAAGGACAGAGGGTGTTATAATGCTGCACAGATTGTTAAGCAAATTTGTGATTCATGATATCGGGCTCACATGGCCAAGTTATTTCATTGCACAAGCCTAATAATCAGATTTATAAGACCCGCCTGTCACTGTCTTATTTATTTTTCAGTTGCTTCAGGTTGTGACCAGGTCAAAGTCTCTCAGCAGCCAAATGTCCAAAATGAAGTCGAAAGTTCCCTTTTTAATGAGCTAAATCTGACTCGGATACAAGTGTTGAGTTTCAGGTCTACAGCTCCGATTCTGTGCAGATTAACACAGGTTTAGTTCTTTGGGACCACTGCTGTCCTGTACATCTCCAGACCCACTACAGTAATATACTGGACAACAGTGCTGTCCTGGTGTAATGTTACACTATGTTGATCTTGACAGTGACAAAATCATCATGATTGTAGAAAAAAAAGTCCAGGTTGAAAACAAGCAGTAACTTGCCAATATATGACAAACATCTGTCTAATTACCTCGACTCTACCTTTTAACAATGTGTAAGCATTATCTCTCTTTACTTCACAGGAGGATGTCATCAACACTCAGTGTGGATACGACATCCGAGCAAAAACGGTGAGATAACTTACACTGATAGACTGAGACCCTCGTCTAAAACTAAGCTGGTGCTGTAAACCTGCATGAAGAGTGTACATCGCTCATGCGTCTTTTGCCTCAGGCTGGTCTGCATGAGGTCATCAGGTACTCCACCCTGGGCACAATATCCCTCTTTCAGTTTGTTTCCCCAACTCCTCACTCTTCAAAATACGGCAGCTGGCTCTCCATCAGCACTTCTTTGGCTTGTGCGGTATTAGTCATGCTGCAGCAATGCAATGGGAAGTGAGACCCCTCCCCCATCATTAGCTTTGGCCTTACTCTATAGCAGCATAATGCAAGGAAAAGGCTGTGTTTGTTTCCTTGACTTTAAATCTGAGGGAAAAGGCAGAGTGAAGCCGTTTTTAACGAGGCAGAGGAGAAAAACAGCAAGCTGAGTGTGTGTTTACAACCAGGTAACATTAGTTCAGAGGGGTTTTAATTTGAAGGGCTTATGAGGAGACCACGAGATAACATAACATTAAAAACTGTTGTTAAAATGTTGTCAACTGTTGCAAAGTAAAGCAAACCCCAACGTTTAATACTTTTCAGAGGGTAATAAAAAAGTCATTTCAAAACATTTCATTTGCATCTGGTTATAAGCCACTATACTTGTTTGACTCGTGCTCTTCCAGGACTCAGAGCAGCGGACTTTCATCTATATCAAAGGCTGCGTCCCTCAGTTTGAGAAGTGGCTCCAGGACAACCTGACAGTGGTGGCAGGCATCTTTATTGGGATTGCATTACTACAGGTGAGGAACAGTGTTAACAGCTTACTTCTACATCTGATCTCTGTCAACTTCTCATGAACCTAACATGTCTTTTTTTTTTTTTTTTTTGTGTGTGTGTTTGTTTGTTTTTGCGGTTTTAGATCTTTGGCATCTGTTTAGCGCAGAATCTCGTGAGTGACATTGAAGCCGTGAGAGAGAGTTGGTAAGAATCAACAGCTCATTAATTCAGCTGCAATTTCACTCGAGCTGGGAACAGTTATTTCTCAATAGTCAGTGTTAACATTGCGAAACATTACTTACTTGGATCTACGATATCAATGTGAGGCTGATGCTTGTGGCCTTCATCAGGATCCGTACACTTTGCAAGAAACCTCCACTTAACCTAAACACATTGTCAAAGAGCTGTTAGCAAAGTCCTGTTATGTATTTGTGCATTTTATGTCTTGATTTTATCGCACTTGTTCTTAAATCCGCCTCCTGTTTTTGCAGTTTGTTTACCTAAGACCTCCACAGAGTCTCCAAAAGCAAGACGGATGTACCAGGTAAGCACTATTTGATTTTATCATTAACATTGCAGTATAAATTATTGATCCCTCACCCTCCCCTGTGGAATGTGTTTATACTGAGATGTTTTTTTTTTTTTCTGCAGGACTCTGCAGTTGGGATACCAGCAATGAAGGGAAATAAATGAATCAGCTAAAGTGTCCAGAACCAAGAGTCTCATTCATGTGTACATAATAAATTTAGAGTTATTTTTTAGAGTTATTCGTGGCCCTATTTTTAAATGAAGAACAACCTTTGAAATGTACTGTAGCTCTCATACAATACAAATGAAACAAATGCAGTATAGGCAGGTATGATGGTAAAGTGGCTCACAAGATAACACCCAGTTTAGCCTGTAGGGATGGAGGAGGGGGGTTATAACTTATGAGCAGGACACAATGAAGGTAGATTTGTTGTTTTCTCTGAGGTAGCACTTCATTTCTAAAAGGGCCTTGGTTTTATAAGTCTCACAGCTGCAGTTTTTAACACTGCGTGTAAGGGTGGTGTACAAAGCTGAAGTGATTCTGGAAATGCACTGCATGCCTATTGTCTACTGATAGGACATTGGCTCTCCTAACTGTATTTCATTAATGTTAAGTATTTTAAAATATTTGTAAAATAGTCACTAGTTTAGAGTGAATTGGCTGGTTAGCACTTTGTTGAATATTTAATGAGATCTACTTAAAGCTACAGAGAATTAACTTTAAATTTATTTCCATATGCGAGATGATCACACTCATATCACACAGATGCATACAGTTTGTGAGCAGAGTTTTGTGGGGCTGAGGTGGATATAGTATTATCATGAAGGCAAATCGTGGATGTATTAGGTTTGTAAAGTTGCAGTTTGTATGAGTTTGGCATTGACTTTAAAGAAATCTCGAAACATACTGAAACAAACCCGAAGATGTGGCATGTAAATCAAAAAAACCAAACAAAACAAACTCAGCCTTAAGCACTTTAATCTTCACGTAAGAGAGATGAAGCTCATTGCAGCCACTCAGCTTTTGTCGAAATTGACTGTTACTTAAGTCAAGCAGCAGCCACTGGAGGGGGCACTTTCCTTAAAAAAAAAACAAAACAAAAAAACAAACAAAAAAACTTAGAAACTGTATCTGTAACTTCATGGTGCTCCAGAATTGTCAGATTCATCTTGAATTTGTCCCAAAAAAAGTCTGTTGTTCCCTGCACATTACCTTTTACAGTTATTGTCAGTCAGTGTTCATTCATTCACTTTCCTCCTTTTGAACTGTTGCCAATGTGTTTCTTTGATGAAATCTGCCTAACTGATGATATACCTTTTGTTGTTTGCTTTTTTTTTTTTTTTTTTCCTGTTTTGATCTGTAAGTTTTCACTGGAAAATTAGGATACAAGCCATTTTCAAGGCTCATAATGAAAGGCAATGCTGGTACCTCCTGGTGGCACTTCACTGACTTTATAGCCTACATACGTATTGTACTTGAAATCAGAGCACACCGGCTCTCTCACCAGCATTATGTTTAATGCAAACATGGGAACTAAGATACAATTTATAGGTTTTTTATTTCTAGATTTAACCTGGATGCATATAATTCACAGGCAACCTGTAACAGAACAGCATAGCATGGAAGTAAAAGCAGCCTTTTAATATAAAATCAAAGTGAACCTGCAGCAGGTTACACACAGCTTTTCCTTTGCAGCTTACACGAAGGATGTTAAACAATATACAGTGTCTGCAGTTTGAAATCTTATTATAAATGTATAAAATGGCCACGGTGTCAAATATCCTTTTTTTCCCTCCCAAAGGTTCATATGATTGTTGGTGTTTACTGATCACACACTTTCTTACCACTCAGTGCCATACTTGTAATTTCTACATACTCCTTATTATAACTCTTCTCTTGTTTCATGTGTACTCCTGATTCTTGTAAATAACTGGAACGTGACAAGTTGTAAATATATATCTTAATAAATGTGTTTCTTTGTAAACTTTTGTCTGTGCGTACTTTATCTAAATTGTAATGTGATGTTGTGGTGATCTTGGCCGCACTTATTCATCTAACGTTAAATTTTCTAATCATGTTTACAGTTGAGTATAGCTTTTTTATTATTAATGAGTGATAGATGATGGGCATCACGCACAAGCCCGGGGGCCCTGCAGGGCTTTGACTGGTAGGTCAGTGCGGTTATCCATCCATAGGAACAATGATAAGAGTACTACCTGACCAGTCTCCCTGTCCCTGCTGCTCACCTCCCTGACCAAGACCATAGGTCTACACAGAGTTCCTTGGACTCCATGGTTTGGCTTTTGTCCTGACATGCAGTGTGAACTGTGGGACCTTACACAGGTGTGTGCCTTTCTAAACTGTCCACTCAATTTAATTGGCCACAGGTGGACTCCAATCAAGTTCTAGGCACATGAAAGATAATTAAAGCAAACGAGAATCACCTGACCACAATGTGGAGCACCACAGCAAAGGGTCCGAATACTTTTGTGAAAGAGAGATTTCAGTTTTTGATTTTTAATACATTTGAAAACTTTTCTAAAAGTATGTTTTAACATCGTGATGTTGGGTTATTGAGTGTAGACTGAGGGGCAAAAACAGCAATTTTATCCATTTAAAATTAAATCTACAACACAACAAAGTGTGACAAAATGAAGGGGGTGTGAATACTTTCTGAAGCCACTGTACATGTAACAGAGGTGAGTTTTGGAAGTGAGGGCAGGGTTTTGTCTCTCTGTAGCTCATTTGTTTTCTCAGACTGTTTTCAGTTCCCTAATAGTCATCTGTTGATTAGACTGAGGTGGAGTGAATGCTCCATGGTCAGACAGGGGAATGCCACATCACAGTCACAGAGAAAAAAAAACAAAGATTAGTGGGTTACACACACACACACGCACACACACACATATTTCTTTCAACACATCATGGATAATTTGCAATTTAGATACCCGGCTTTGATAAGTGTATCTGTTTGCTGTGTTATCAGGGATTGCTTGCAACCCTCTGATCTGAACCTTGGACAGATGCTCAGTGTTACTCTCGGCCCTTTCCTCGACTCCGTAGAGAACAACAGCAGACTCTTTGCTAAACTGATATAATCAACCTTCCTCTCAAACAAATTCACTCACTCTTCAATTTAATACCAAAATGCTTTGGTCATCAATGCTAATAGTCCTCATACAGTCACTTCATGCCGAGGCTCTGGCTGAACTTCGCCCGGTAGGCAACGTTCAGCAATCCACCCAAGGGCCCCAAGGCTTTGTAATAGGTGGAGGATCTCAGTTTAATTAGCTCCATGTCTGCTTGCTTTTAAATCTCCTTTGAAAACCTACTTTGATTTTAAAAAAAATATAATTTATAAGGTGATATTTTATATGTGTTTAGTTAATTATTTTCCTACATTTTATGTATTAATCATTTTTTGCACAGCAACTTGTAACTTTGTTAAGAAAGGCGCTATATAAATAAAGATTATTCTTGTTATTCATATTTTTGTATGTAGACTAACTGTATGCCCTGGCAATTAATGTTCTTATTATTCTTAAAGGGTCTTTATTAATAATTATTTGTAATTGTTTTGTCTGTATTCTATTCTGTTGTTTGCTAAATTTGGTATGTATTGATTCCTCATGTGGTTTTCCTCTCCTTTGTTTGCAGTCACTTTGACTAGTATCAGGAATAAAAAGTATATTTTGTTTGGCGATAATCTCTCAAAATAGGGAAAACCTGTTCATCCATTTCATTGTTAAAAAGGCAACAATCATTCCCACAGTGCCACAGGTCATGACATACTGTACTTCCTGGTACTTTATCAGTTGAGGGTGAAGCCCTGGAGAAGCCCAGCAGCAGCTACTGGCTGTTGGCTAAAGTTGGACATTGACATCAGAACTATTGTCTACTGACAGACCAGCTTCCTAACTGTTAGAGACGTCTACCTTCAGGACAGTGAGGAAATCATCAGAGAACAGAGATGGTGTGTGTGTGTGTGTGTCTGTGTGTGTTGGACGGAAATTGCATAATCTCAACCTCAGTGACACATCAGTGCTGAGGTGATCCTCTTTCTGTTTTCAGTACAACTCTGAATTCCCCTGGAGAGGACGACCATCAACATCAGCAGACAAACACTGACACCCACTGGTTGCTCGGATCAGTTCACATCGACTGTATTCAGTTCGGCTGAATGGTGTTACTGTCGCCGTTTTGGAGTTCAATGATAAAATTTAATAATGTATTTTCTGACCCCATTTGTATTTACAGCACAGCTGGACGCTCAGTGCTGCATGGACCAGTGCCTGTCACTTGGAGAATCTGTTTTCCTTGTCAGACTGAGCACCAATCACAAGCCTGTCTCTCCTGTGACTAAAAATGTTATTTAAACTATATTTGCCATGGATCCATATGTTTCTGCTAAATGTTCATGTAAAAAAAAAAAAAAGAAGTAGAAGTAGAAGGGCACTCAGAGAGTCTAGACCTCTGCCTTGAGGCCAGTGTCCAACAACAATACACCGGACTTCAGAGAAAAAAAAGATCATAGTAAATGATCCGGATCTGCCCCAAAATTGAAAGGGTTCTTCCCTGGCCCAGGCCCCTTCCCACCGCCCAGTTTGGTGCAAATCAGTACAGCACTTTTTGCGTAATCCTGCTGAAAAATAAACAGACACGAGTGAAAATATACTGTAATCTCCTTCGTGGAGGTAATAAAACTATGGGCCAATAAAATGTTATTAGCTCAAGCTCAAATATTCTATACATGGTTAAAATAAAATATATACCCTATACATTTGATCTGATTCATTTGTGGCTCTACATAAAATATTCCAATCCAATGGATAAGGGGATAACATGTTAAAGTGAGAACACAAATATAATACAGAGGTGTTCAATACAGTAGTTTAGAGTTTTTCTGTTGTAAATACAAACTATGTATGAACCTACAGTCATGTGACTGATTTGAATGTGAGGAGACAAAAATGGCTGTCTCCTAAAACTATATAATGTAGAATCATTCAACGATGAGTGAAAGCATATTTAATCTATGCCTTTCGAACACAGACAGCAGAGTAAGTGTGAAAAAGTTCTGCTGATCCTACTGATGAAAAATGATTAAAGGTGCCATCATTTGAAATGTAAGAGGCAGATACTCAAGGCTCATTTCAATGGATGGGACCTTTAATCACCCCTCATCCACACATACACATGGAGATTAGAAAAACACTACTGGAGTGACAGTGCTAACAATCTTAATTAAACAGATTGAGTTTGCAACAGCTTCCATAGAAACTTTTATTTGTGTCCAAAACCGGTAGCTATATGGAAATATTTCATATTTCTGCTCCACAGACTGACTCTTATAATGCAGTCTTCCAAGCTTGTGGTCCTCCTCAGATGCTGTAACTCGAGCTGGAGGGCTGGGTCCTCACACAGACTGCCCATTTCCTCCGACCAAGACACAGCGACAAAGTGCCGACTGTTCATCCTGAGGAGAAATTAGGTGAAAGGTGTTAAACATGAGGACGTTTCTCTACCTCCTCCTGGTAAATATATACATCATTCTTTTTTTTCTTATGACTTCTCCTGTCAAAAATATCACAACGCTATTGTTTGTTGACTTGTCAGGACATGTAGTGCAAACCTGAAATCCAGACACCAAGTCTCACTTTTCGCTTGATGAATCCAATCAATCAGGTAATCCCATTCCATTGATTGATCGATCGATCGATCACATGTTTTGTCCCCCGCTGTATTAAAAAGGAGGACACCTGGCTGCATCTGCCAATAGCAGAAGTCCCTGTCAAATCTGTGCTCCTCGGGTTAATGATTTGCTGTTTATCTCGTACTTAGTACTTGAGCGTGGAGTTTGGAGTCTGCCCTCTCCTCCGATAAAACGTAGTAGGAGAAGCTTGGACTTGCTTTGCCTTTCTTTTCTGGCCCTTTAGTGCTGCTTCAGCCACTGCCTCCTTTTTTTTGTGTCGGTTCTGATTCATCTGGCTGCGGAGAGAGGACACACAATGTTAACTCTTGTTGTGTTCTTGCTTTGCACAGCCTCCTCTGTCTCAGCTTCTGCCAAAGGTGAGTGGATGTGACTTTTTTTTTTTTTTTTCTGTGTGTAGATGTAGCCTGGATGTTTTGGGGCCCACAGGATCCTTAAAACAAATTATTCAGTGAAGCTTAAAAGAATCTAAATCACCCTGAGTTAGTAGAAATATGTCAGCTGGGTTGGTGTGTAGATCAAAATGTCACTGTCCTGTTCTTTGGAGGCTTTTCCATGGATGACACACTGGAGACTAACTGGTGATCTTTGATATGATATGTGTTATGTGTGCAGCTTCAACCTGTATTTAATTGTGCCACTGACTCTAAAATCCCAAAAATGAATGAATCCTGGCAGGAAATCAGGCTGGGTGATGTTGACAGAACCCTCAATGTCAGTGTCCGGGGACTAGCTTCACACAGAGCTGCTGTGTAACACTGATCAGAGGTGAAAGAGTATAGTTAAGAATAATAATGAAACAAAAAAAGTAACTGGGTTGCAGGTTGGCTCCTCAAATATCTCAGTCAGACAAAAGACAAACTGACCCAGAGTTTTTTTTTTTTTTTTTTGTTGAATTCAGCTCCACGTTCCTCAGCGGCCCTGTGATGAAATCAAATACTGACACGTCAGTGCGTCTTCCCTCGTGGCCCGATGTCATATCTAATGGAAAGCTCGTCATTAATAGAGCAGAGGAGAGATTTTTATCTTCTCTCACTTTGAACACACCCAGTTAAATGGCCGCTGATTGAATCACCTCGGCACTATCCTGAGATGATCTACAGTATTTCTAAAAAAGAGGTGAAAGGGAAAGAGAAAAGGAGCATTGTGTTTCGTGGAAGTTCATCTTTCCCACCGCTAAATGCACCTGGTGTTACATGTTCCGATATTATAGAAGAGATTGCTTCAAACATACAAAAACTGATTCATTTTTTCACAAGTTTTAGTCACAGGTTTCAATAACCTTCACAATGAAAATGATTTAAATTACAACCTTACTGGAAGCTTTCAGGCCTGCTGGTTTGACTTCATCCACGACAACTCTGACATCATCTTTTCCTGTTAAAGCATTTGTCGTTAATGATAATGCAGCTAAATGCATGGATTACTTTGAAAGGTGTCTCACAGCTGGAAGCTCTGACATCTCACATCCAGGCAGAAACTTGTGATGGTGCAGAAACTTGAAATTCAAGATGCGACCAAAATGAGTTGAATCCTTCCCTCAAAGTTTACTCATTGTCCTCCAGGTTTGATTTTCAAAAAATCTAAGAATCTGGAGCTTAAATGAACCAACAAGGAGAAGGGTTTCAAAAACAACCACTGCTCACTACTGTGTTATCATATCAGAAGACAAAAATGAAGATGGCTACTGTGATGGATTTCTGTTTCAAGTTTTAGGTTGCTACTAGTTAAAAATGCTTTTGTAAAACCGAAAACTATATTATATACTTTATCAGGTGCAAGTGAGCTAAAGCATAACAAGTGAAGACAGCATTTGAATGTTTCTTTTTTGCTAACACTGGTGCATTTACAGTGCTGTTGTTCAATGTGCAATTAAATAATAAATCTGTAAAAACAGACCTACAGTATCTTCACACCACAGTATGATACTAGCAGAGAGTCTTATAATAGATCGCTCTCACTTTCTCCACTCGTGTTTATTCACCAGCTGCGTGTCCTGTGTTTCTTCAGGTGGTGCTGCTGGACCCCGGCTGAGCAACAACCAGCTGTACAAATTCAGCTACAGCACTGAGGTGCTGGTGGACAGGGAGAGGGGGTCAAGAGAGGGCAGTGCTGGCTACAGGATCTCGAGTGATGTTGACGTCAGCCTGGTGTGGAGAGATCCGAGCAGCAAGGATGACCAGCTGATTCGACTGGCGGTATGTCGGTCCAGTGGCATGTCGAGAGAGGACAGGATGCCACGATGTAGTACATAAACTTTTAATGAAGTGAATTTTAAGATAGGATAATCCGTATAATATTCCTGACTACAAATACACCTTCAATAAAACTGGTAGCTAAGCCTGCATGCTCCCATGTGTTGACAAGGCACAAAAAAAGAAATCAAAAATGCAAAAAAGGACTGCAGGCATTTACTGAAATGATTAAATCTCTTCTTGATAGATCTCAAATGTGAGGATCGAGCCTGCGTCCCATCGACCTGAGAAGAAGAACGTCCTCCATGGATCAACAGCTGAAAGTGTTTTGGGGAAAACCAAATTAGCAGCTCTGACAAAACCTTTCTTGGTGCATCTTAGAAATGGAAAGGTAAGAGCATTAACAATGCCATTCTCGGCACTTGTCATGGTTTAAATTCTTGGTATAAAACAATATGCATAGAAATGAAATAGTCCTTATTAGTGGTTACACAACTGATTTCTTTACAACCTCATAGTCTTTTAAGAGGTTTTAATCCTTATTTTGACATAATATGAAAATAAAACACTTTGTAGCAAAAAGGGTGAATATTTTTGATAAACACTGACACGGTTTATAAATCACTCCAGGTAAACCAACAGTTGTAGAAATTCCCAAATATTATATGAAATGTTGTTTTTAATCAATTTAGAGTGTTAAACATGTGAGAGATTCTGACACAAGTGATGTCAGAAAGTCAGTATTGTACCTGCTGCGCTCCACTGTTATTGTCTTCATAGACGTAATGAGCTTACGTTCATTGTGCTGGAGTGATGATGCTGGCAGGGGAAATACCTGACAGATGTGTGTGTGTGCAAAGGTCAGCAGGCTCAGAGGGTCAAAGAATGAATGAACCAGCCTGGTTTAACAGAATGGCTCCGGGCCGGTCGGATAAGGCTCGTAATAGTTGTGGGATGTTTGAGCTTGAGCCATACTCATTCTCTGTTATCAGTCTTACCATCACTGTATATTATTAAATGATGCACGAATGCCAAGGAGCAATAGTAAGCTGATTGCAAGATGTCTCATTTAAAGACTCGGGAGAAGAATGATATGACATTGGTTTATGCTGAATATCGCTGAAGAAACCGCTAGCTGCTAACAGATCTCTTTATAAAGTGTTTTATACTTGTAGGCTACATGTATATGATTACAGTAATAATTTCAGTACCACTTCATAATCAAGCACCTGACAGTGGTGTGACCAGATACTCCAGCATCTTCATCATCATGTTTGAAAGGTTTCTGTGTAAATCTTGTTCATGAAAAAAAAAAAAGTTGGCTAAAATGTCACCTATTAGGATTAATGTTGGTTGAGTGTGGAGTAAAGTTTGGTGCGTGTGAAACATGAGAGATCAGTGTCTCCCCTGGTGTTGTTAGGTTATTTATACTGATGGCAGGCTGTGGCAGGAAAAATACACACAGTAGCACTGGACAGTCTATTTATGGTGGTCCTATCTGATATTGTGGTTGAGCGCCACAAATAAATTACATACTGTATAGGAGACAGTGTAGGATGATGTAATCGGCTGCTCTCTACACTTGTGACCAGGACGCAGGGTCCAGTGTTGAACCAATCCGAAAACTCACTGGAAAAATTTGTGGTTTTTTCCGGATCGGTTCAACCTGATCTCATTCATGCCGGTCAGGGCTGTGCACTGACGTGAATTTAGAAGCTAATGGAGTCAATTTACGGTAAAGCCTGACCGATACAGTCGCATGACCCATGAGAAGTGTTGGGGAGACACTGATGATGGGATTACGTGATTAAATTACAAAATAAATGTGAATGTAATCTGTTACAGTTACGGAGAAAAAACTCAATCTTTTTTGTTAAAAAGAGAGGTGATAGGTGTGAGATCTAATAACACTCACTAACTTAAATCTGCATTGAGTTTTCATTAAATATTAACTTGGAGAGGTCATTAGGTTGTGAAATTTCTACAGGGCACCAACAGACTAAATTAATGGTACTAATAAGTAATGAAAAAGTAATCAAATGTAATATGTTACCTTACTTTGATGAGGTAATTAAAACAGCTATGTTCTTATTACATTATTAACATGGGAAGTAGTAATCTGTAACCTGGTACATTACACTGCCCATGATATATTTCAGCTTATCATGTATTAGTAGTGGAAGTCAGATGTTTAAGGTAATTTAGAAACAGTGTTAGAGAGAATTAAGTTTATTTAAGTGTCTCGCTCGGTACATATCTTCTTCGCAATTCTCTAAAGACCAATTTTAAAGAATCCTTAAGAGAAATGTTTGTTTATATTTTATGTTGATGCTAAAAACAGTATTGGTTGATATATCATTATCACATTTTCTTAAACTCTTACGTATAAATGTAACGTGCTAATACCAAAGGATTTTTGTAATGTTTTTGATCTGCACTTCAAAGAATATGTGATATTTTTATATGTAATGCAAATAGTCTCTGATGTCATGGCCAGGCTCACATGTGTCTGTACACAAGTGTGCAAGGGAAAACTGACACCCTGAAAGCCTTTGTGAGTTGCAGCACGTAGGTAGCTGCTTCATCTACCATTGTATGGAAGCATAAAATTCTGTTTAACACGTTGCTTTCTTTTTACACATGTGCTGTAGGCAAAAGCATTTTATTCCTACTGGGCCGAACCTGCAACCATCAAGAACCTAAAACGAGGACTGGCCAGCTTACTGCAAGTACAGCCCAATACTGGGAAGGTTATAGAGGTGAATGACATGATAGTTCTCCCATTACATTTATTTATTTATTTTTCATAATTTAATACATGTAACAACTTGAATTGTGTCTTTGAACAGAATGATGTGTCTGGACGGTGCACAGTCGAGTACAAAGCAGTAAAAGGTCAAGTGACGAGGACCAAGATCCTGGATACATGTAAGACTGCGGAGACCGGGTTTACCACACACAGTCAGGTTAGTCAGCATCTACACCGATACACTGCGCTAAAATATGAACATCACTGAGTCGCTAATACATCACGTCTCTATGTGTCCGCCCTTCAGGTCTTGGGTGTCAAAAGGAAGTCCAGTTCTGTTACAGTGTTCACGCTCGAGGATGGGTTCATCCGCTCGGCCGTGGCTGAGGAAATGCACTCGCTGGTTGTTAATGCTCGCAGAACTGTTGCAGCTAAAGTCGTGTCCAGGTAGCTGCCCATAGAATAAATAAATCTGCGGCGTCTGGTCCAATATAAGCACGTTTTACATTTTGATTTTTCCTGTCTCCCAGGCAAACCCTCACTTTGACAGGCACAGAGGCCGGTCCACTGGAGGCTGCTGGGAAGGATGTCTCTGGGGTTGTCAAGTCAATTGATGCCAAACTGGCAGCTGTTGGCATCGTGGCTGAGAAGGTCAAAACCCAGTGCAAGGGTTGTCCATCAGTGAGTTCCCTGTTACCTTTCATACGGATACACAAGCACTGTTTTGTCTTACCACCAGGTAACAGGCGTCATACTTTCATGGTGACACAGACACACCACAGACAGACCCACTCAGCAGATGCTCTCCATAGATCTTGGAGCTCCTTCCAGCAACACTTTGCATATGAAATATGTAGTTCTAGCATTTCCGGGTCTTATTTTTGTAGACTTGGCCATCAAGAAACAAGAGCAGTAGGAGGATCATTCAGGTTTTAAACAAGGGGACAGTTATTCAGATGATATAAACCATATTTCTTTAAGACAAAAGCATCAAGATTTCTGCACACTGCTGTTGCATTAAAAACATTTATTGGATCAGTACAAATAAAATTTCAGTCCCTTACGACCTTTTTTCTGAATATGAAAAAGGATCTGAGCTGATCTGTACAAACCATTAATGCAAAATTACTCTTAAATAGCGCTGTTAGTAAGCAGATACTGTATATTTTTGTACTGTAATTATTGACTGAAGACGATCTGTCTCCTAATCCCCCCTCCTCTGTGTTCTTCCTCTTAGCTTTTTGAACATTGGCAGGCTCAACAGAAGCAGCTGGAGCCAGAGACCCTGTCTAAAGCCGTGGCTCCTCGCAGCTTCCTGGCCCTCATCCAGAGCATTAGGAAGTCGTCCAAGGACGAGATCCTCAAAGTGCTGAAGAGTGCCAGCAAGACATCTCTGTAAACAAGCTCCTCCTCTTTTCCTACATCTTATTTACCTCCTGCTGACACCATCTCTCCACTGTTTCTTTGAATTAGTGTAACTTACAAGATTTCAAATGTCAGATTCCAGGAGGATTAACTTACTATTACTCTGTTTAACCTCTTCCCGCTGCCATCAGACCTCAGGTGGTGGATGCTGTGACCTCCTCCCAGACTGCTGCATCTCTGGATGCCATGCTGGACTTCCTGAACTTCACCGATGCCAAAGGTTTGGTCCTGCAGGAGAGATTTCTCTATGCGTGTGGCTTTGCTTCACATCCCAACGAGAGAATGCTCCAGGCCTTGGTGGTGAGTGCCATGTTGTTGTCAGAAGTTCATGACATAACTGACACCTTCTTCCTGCTTATTCAATGGAAGTATAAGACTTCTGCAATCTAGTCCATATCAGTGAACACAGTCCGTTTTCCCCTAAAATTCCCCTAAAATTGTTTTTTCTGCACTTTGTGTCACCTTTCCTGTGAATTTGTTTTGGGGGGAAACAAACACTTCTCAAATCAGTTGTCTCTTCATTAATTGCTTTGTAGAATATTTTATATTACTTTTCTTCCTCAAAATATAGTGATGGTTTAAATATGTTGTAAAATGTAGAGAACGCAGTCTTAGGAATAAGTCTGCAAAACCAAGTCATCATATACTTAAATTATATGACAGCATGCAATGAATTTTAGTAATAATTGTTTTCTTTACAGGACATTTCTAAGGGAAAGATTGGCAGCCCTGACATCAAAGAGTCCGTGGTGATCATTATGGGAGCCCTGGTCCACAAACTGTGTCAGAAAGGAGGGTGCAACCTACCGGTAAGCTTCTAAGAGGATGTAAATGAAAAACATTTGAAAGTTCATTTGAAAATCGAAAACAAAGATGTTACATTAGAAACTCAAATCAAATATGAATGAATCCGAGAGCTGACTGATGGTCTTGTGCTGTATGTTTTCCTCTCAGACAGTGGTGCAGGTGAAGAAGATGATATTAGATGGTCCTGTCAGCACGCAGGTTGAGTCCGAGGTCCAGATGTATCTTCTGGCTCTGAAAAACTCGCTGCTCCCCGAGGCCATTCCCATCTTTACCAAATACGCGGAGTCAGAGGTCGGAGCGTACAGCACCATCGCCCTCACAGCTCTACAGAGATACGATGTCAAGCTCATGACCGATGAGGTGCGCCGTAGTTAACATAATGTTTTGTTTGAAATAATATGTGTTGGATGTTAATAATATTTTGATACAATTAGCACGTGACAAACTGAAACCATGCTTCTCTCAGGTAAAACGGACAGTGAACAGGGTTTACCACCAGAATCGACGGATCTACGAGAAAAACGTGAGAGCTGCCGCCGCTGACGTCATCCTCAGTAGCGACCCCTCCTACATCGAGGTCAAGAATCTGCTTCTGTCCATCGGAAACCTGCCCCACGAAATGAACAAGTACATGCTGTCTAAGATCCAGGACATCATCCGCTTCCAGCTGCCTGCCAGGTGTGTGATGGGTCACCCACTGGACCAACAGAGAGAAAATGATTTATGAAACAGAACATTAAAAGCAAGGACTTTCAGTTACACAGATTGAAACCTTGTACTATAAAATTATTTTCTGCATTTTTCAGCAAAGTCATACGCCAGGCTATGAAGGACATGATTTCCCATAACTACGACCGTTTTGCAAAAGTTGGGTCGTCATCAGCTTTCTCAGGATTCATGGCACGTAAGTCATCACCCGTCATATTTCAGTCTACAGGAAAGGAGGAGATTTCACAAAAGTTTGCTGAGATATTTATGATCTGAGATAAAATGTGGAAAAGGGATGTTGACATTTTTGCTCAGTCAAGAAAAACATTCAATTTTGACATTTTGCAGCACATGTTGGATCGATGTGGAATCTTCAACCTCCATGTTTTAAGCAAAAGATTAGTAACATCACAGCTACACGGATGCTAATTGAGTATTTTTATTTTTGATAAACAAAAATACAATTCCACTCCCAACAGAATCTGCTGATGTGACCTCCACATACAGTTTGGACATCCTGTATTCAGGCTCTGGGATCCTGAGGAGAAGCAACATGAATATTTATGGCGCTGGTAAAGGAGCAACGCTACATGGACTACAGGTAAAGAAACATCAGAGATTATTAGAAATTTAAGAGTATACATTAACAAAAACTGAGAATTGTATGAAATTGTGAAGTGTAAATGAAATCTCAGAAAAGATCAAACGTCTCTTTGCATGTCCATCGTATCTTCTAGGTGGCGATTGAGGCCCAGGGTCTCGAGTCACTAATTGCTGCCACACCTGACGAGGGAGAGAAGGACCTGGAGTCGTTTGCTGGGATGTCGGCTCTGCTGTTCGATGTCCAGCTGAGGCCCGTCACCTTCTTCAAGGGTTACAGTGACCTCATGTCCAAGATGTTCTCCATGACTGGGGAGCCCATGAACGTAGTGAAGGGTCTCATCCTGCTGACGGATCATTCTGAGGTAAGAAGTTCCAACTGTGGAGTGAGAGTAGTAATGAGTCATGCATGCAACAGGTAGTGACAGTCAGACTTGTTTACTGTGTGTGTGTGTGTGTGTGTGTGTGTGTGTGTGTGTGTGTGTGTGTGTGTGTGTGTGTATGTGTGCGTAGTCACAGATAGCAAATGACTCAGGTTAATAACTTCAGTTGTTGAGCTTAATGATGTGAGTATGAACAAGGTCTAAATGTGCACAGCTGATGCCAGGTTGTGGCACTAATACAGCAGCTAATTTGTGTTTTAGTCTCTTAATACTTTCTCGCTTCCCTACCCACTGATCTCCAAGTCCACTGTCCACAGACGAGACTTAAATCTGTTAAAGCTAAACAAATTTCTGATAACATGAAGGTGCTGTAACGTTATAGCAGACATTACTCAATCAGGAGTAACTGTGCATTTGTTGGGGGCTATTTTCAGTCATGGATTCATACGCTGTTTGTGAGCTGTTGAACTAGCATGGCGCATGTGGGATTGACTCACATGTGAATGACAGTGTCAGTGTTCATGGTAATGAAGGAACATGTGGAAAGAAGATGTGTTCTGGTGAAACTCTAAGGCACAGAGAGATAAGTTACATGGGAAATACTCCTTTGTAGGATCAATTCATTGTTTGGTTTTGGTCTTTTTGTGGGATTTGATGAAAGTGGGAAAATGCAGTTTATCATCAGCCGTATCCTAATAACACATTCTCTATGAATCTTAATTATCACTGTCATAAACTGGAGTGAAACATGATCAAGTCCATTGCGGTTTTTCTTCTCCACTTTGTCCCTGCAGGTCATCCAGCTGCAGTCTGGTCTGAAGGCGAGTGCAGAGTTTCAAGGAGGGTTAGCCATTGATATTTCTGGAGGCATGGAGATCAGTCTGTGGTACAGAGAGTCCAAGACCAGCGTCAACAACAGGTACAGCCCAGAGACAGTAAAATCAGCAACTGTTGCAGGTTTTTTTTTGTTCTGTAACTGAATTAGGGCTTCAAGAAAACCTTTAACCTCATGTTATGTGCTATAGATGTGGGTCACAGAGTCGAGTACAACTGAGTAAATTATCTCACTGAGTGCGATTGTGAAGTACTGTATGTACAGTATGATGTAACACACTTGCAGGTCAGAAGCCCTTGTGATAGACAGACAATTCTTAGAAAACAACCTTTGTGACTGAAAGGAAAGTTGTTTTAGAAGTTCGGGCCTTGTCACCGTGCTGCAAATAGATTCCTGTTGACGTTGGATTCATGTGAACTTTAGAAAGGCTATAAGTGCTGTCTGATTCACTTGTTCCAGCGGCACGTTGGACGTGCTCCAGTATTGTGCTTCACGCCTGTCTCATTTCTAGGCTTGTGTGGATATGACGTCAGCTCTGTCTGGTTCTCTATTTTAAAACATTACAGTCAACGCGCAACACTAGCTGCTGAAAATGGAGCACATCATCACGTTGGTGTCAGTCAGCTTGCGGCGTCTGGTGATGAAACGGTTTAAACAGCAATGCCATAGATTTTTTTTCAAACATTCAAATATGGTGTGATTTTCCTCCGCAGGACACGGCTGCATATTCACCTCAGTCCTTTTTAAAAGGCCCAGTTTTGTCCTTAACAGTAACTGAAAACCAAAGTCAAGTACCAAAACCTGCCACTGAATGTTTGGTCAGATTCTTCATCTTGTTCAGTTGGTTTTTGGTCAGATTTTCTCTGATTCTTTTGGTAATCGGAAAATTTTCTTTGAAGAAAACTCTATTTCACAAAGTAAAGTAAAGTAAAGTAAGTAAGTTATCAAAAAATCCTTTGGCATCTGAATTGAAGTTTTTGTACTGTGTTTTGTACTTGTACTGGATGAGTATTTTAATAATTTTAATCTCTACACTTTTAGTGTATTAGTGATGCAGTTAATGTACAGCTCTTTATTTAAATCTCCACCAAGAATGACTTGCGAAAGATGGAAAAGGAAGAGGGGAATTTTAATGGGAATCTTTGTTTAGGTGCCAAAAACACATGATGCTGTGGAATTAATACCTTTTTTTGGAACAGCATCACAGGGAAGGAAAATGTGGGTTAAGACAGAAGAAATGCTTCAATATCTCTGTTCTGAGGATTTTCTGCCCTTCACAACTGTCCACATCTTGGTTCTGGACTTCAGGATGATTTGACCCGTGTGTGCGGGGGAATGGCAGAGGCAGGTGAATGGATCAGCATAGTTGTACCTCTTCCACTCTGATAATAGACGGGCAGGCTATCTATAGAAGCAGAACAAACCACACTGGCATCTCTGCCAAGGCATGTCTCCATGGGCAAAGTTACAGAGGTTGGATTTTCAACTGGTTGGCACAGACTTTGACTTGAAACAGGAGGAGAAGTTGTAACATGGTAGTTAAACTCCACTTGTTAGCGTCTGAACTTTGCTGTGCTTTTGAGCCACTGATACAAAAACATGGCCGCAAACAAGGACCATATACCGCAGAAGTTGTACCAAGAGTGAAGAAAATGACCATCACTGATTGGCTGGAAGGTACCTGTTGCAGTCGTATATCAGGACACCTCTAACACATGTACATTAAACTGTAGGTAACCATAGCTACAGTTGTGCTACTAGTTAATTGCTGGTTAAAGTAATTCAGTTTTTTAAGGGTTATAAAAAAAACAGCACTATCTATTCTTTTAGCAGGTGGCTGAGGTACATGTAACAACACTGCACTCTGAAATGTCTAAATAAAGAAAATAGTGGACTCTTACTATAATAATAATAATAATGGATATTTTTCACCTCTTCACCTCATTGTGGCCTTACAAAGAAAATATGACTTTATTCTACAAACACATTTTAACATGTGGAACTTCTTAACGTGTGGAACTTCATTAATAATATTTAAAATTCACACATTCTCATACGGTTTTCTCATGTAATGAATTCACATGAAGGCATCCGGTACTTCAGATATGATTAAACATGTGGACGTGGTTTTTGGACATGTCACGTATAGAACATAATTTTACATATGGTATGTGAAATGTAAAATCTTACATGTACATTTTATTTTCTTGGATGAAATGAATTTGGCTTTGTCTGTTGAACAAATAGAAACTTGGTTTTCGCTTGCTTGTGGTTTCAGAGGAGCGCTGGTGGTCACTGGTAATGTTACTGTGGACATGGACTTCATGAGAACGGGTATGGAGGTTAGCTTTGAAACGGAGGCATCGCTGGACTTCATCACCACCGTCCAGTTCTCTGAATATCCCTTCCTGGTGTGCATACAGATGGACAAAACCACCTTCCCCTTCAGGTACTGTAAGACCCACCCAGAAAAGAATAGATTCATTATCATTATTGAATCAACTTAAACAAAACCTAACTTTCTATTCTTAATGATCTGCTTTCAGTGAACACCTGACCAAATATGACAGCCTGCCATCGGGGAAGAACGTCGTGTCACGAAAGAGCAAGAAGCAGCTGGTCCCTGGCTCTGAATTCCCTCTTCACCAGGAGAACTCAAACATGTGCAAGAGGGTTTTTGACTCCAGCTGGTAGAGATACCATGAACTATCCAGGAGCAAGTCTTCATTCTTATGGGCAGGTTTTTGTCACTCAAAGAGGGTTCATTGCATTCAGGGACAGCTATCACACCTCAGCCTCAAGCAGTGAATGACTGAAAGAGAGAAAATTTGTGAGTGTTTTTTTTTTTTTTTTTTAACAACACATGCAATGTTTACATTCCTGTGAGTATTTAAGTCATTTTAATTTGACATTTTGTTTTAAATCAGGAATTCTTGCATTGTCTTTTTATGGATTTCTTTGAAAATGTATTTATGACGGGCACATACGTACAGGATGTATGTAATACTCAGCACGAATAGTACCACTGTAATTTTCCCCAACACAGTTACAGTAAAGACGTACATGTAAATATCACACTGAAGACAGTGGATTAACTTTCCCCTGAACAGAAACTCTCCTTTTGATCAATGTGTTTACTGTGGAGGAGCAATTTATTGTTTTATGTCGCTGTATTGCTGTTCACACACTTGAAATAACTTATGTTCCAGAGAAATTATATGCATTAATTCCATTTTTTATGATCATGTTGGTGATTTGTTAATTGCTCCTACAAAGATGACATGTGTGCATTGTCTTTACATTGTACTTGGAAGATTGAATATGAAAATCTTAAATGAATCCATCAACACTTGGATATATATTTTTTGTACATGGCTGTAATTGCTGAAAATGTTTGGGTAGGGTATAAAAGGCTTTTGAACTACTCTTAACTTGTGTTTCAGCAATTAGGAATTGGTTTGTTGGATTTAATTGGCTGACAATAAATGTGCACTGGAGACACTTTGCTTTTTGTCTTGGCTTAGATGGATTTAGATTCAGCAACACAGGCCATATTTTGTTCATTTTGTCTCCACCAATTCACCAATTTTAGTCAGTTTATTTGTCACGAAGAGTACTGCTTAGACCATGAAAACAGTTGTAGGCCTATATATGTATGTATGTATGACTTGAGCTTTGTTAAGTCTGAGAGACACTTAACTGACACCATCTTAACTTAAAGCCTACACATTTATTACAAAAAGCCTGCTTTACAAAATGGGAACATGGCAACTATTCAACATTTCAAAGATATTTTATGATGATACTTCAAGGTTCTGAATATGAGATTTCAAACAATAATATAGCAGCAAGCAGGTATTCTATGAATATAGTGGAGTAATAGTTTTCTTGAGCAAAGTCACACCCCTATGGATGTGTTGCAGTTTGAGTTTCTCAGGTCTTTTTGCGTGCATGTTAGTGCATACCTGTGCATGTTAGTGCACGTGAGTCGCCCCTGTTAAACCGTTGGCCCTCCCCATGTGTATAAACACACAAGGACCACCCACGCCCGAGATGGCACAGTGAAGTAAACAGCCTTCAGGTGAACACTGCCTTCCAGAACTTCCTCCACTGGAGAAACCACGTTTTTGGCAAAAAAGAAACAGTAATAAGACCAGAGCACATATGACTGGCCATGGAGACTACAGGCTCAAATCCTGGGCGGCCAGTGGCCCGTGAAAATATCCATTAAGTTTCAACGTTTTTACCGCTCTGTCAGTAGTGCGCCAATCCATCTATCTTTCTCAGTCCGACCGTGGAGCCAATGCTGGTCTAGCTTTACTGAGATGGAGAGCCCTAGGAGCTGCTAAAGGGCTTGACCCGGAACTGGCTTTTCTTCTCAATGTGTAAGTAACTTGATGGCTACATAATGATGCATGTCTGTTTACCTTAGTAACTAGCTACAGAAGGCATGATAACGTCAGCTAGCTTGCTGTTACTAATACTATGAATGTGTCCTGCAAATATTGCTGTCGCTAGCCGGCTAACTGTTAGCATTGCGGTTAAGCATATCACGGCAATGCTAGCTCTGGCTAACGGTTGTGGCTAGATTGTTTTTGTTGGCTCTCGTGTACTCAGGGGAACTTCTTTCAGTTGTGCTGGGCTTGTTGTGTTTTTAGTGGCCGCTTTCAAGGGGCTTCATATCACCATGCTGGCTGATACCTGAAGAACGGGGTGAGTTGTGGTCCAGGAAGCATTTTTGTTTTGTCTGAGATGCTAGTGGTCTAGTGCGACATCTAGAGGCAGTGACGATCGTTTTTCAAACCCTAAAGAAAGCATCTGAATATCTCATATACTGGAGTATGGTGATATAAAAGTAGTATTGCTTGGCCAAACATAATGTTTTTACCTACGTGTGACACAGAGCTCCAGTACCGGTTACTTTTTAGCCGAGCTAGCTGCTTGGCTCAAGGGATGCTAATGTCAGTCAGTGTTTGTCCACCACTTTGGTCCAAACAGAAATACCTCAATGACTACTTAAAGGATTGTCATGAAAATTTGGAGAGACGTTTATTGTTACCAGAGGATGAAGCCTGTGGTAAACATCCTCTGAAAACCACTTTTCTTCTAACACCACTTAAATTAATATGTTGAAACCAGCAAAACGAATCATTCTCATTAGCCTCAAGTGTGCTTTGTGTTGGTGCTAATTACCAGTGCTACATACCTAAACTAAGATTATGAATATGGTAAATACAATATTGTGCCTGCCAAACAGCAAAGAGCATGTTAGCATGCTGACATGGCATGGTTGTGGGCTCTCAGTTGTGTGTTTTCCCCTGTGTAGAAGCTTCTTCCCTTCTGGTGGTTTCAAGTGGAGAATGAACTATATGGAATCAGACATTTCAAGAAGGAAAGCAATTTAAACTTTAATAGATAACAGCAGAGATTAAAAGTTAAGGTTTTCTTATGCTGTGTACGTTGTGCCCACATTAGCATTTTGTTAGCATCACTGTTTTAAGTAAATCCCTAGCCCTCATTTGTATTGGTAGTTTGTGGTATGTCTAAGAAGACAAAATGTATCTTAGTGGACTAAATGCAACACACACTTGTTGATCCAGGTGAGGCAATAAATCTTGACTTTTCTTGTGTCACAGCTGTGACATCAGAGCCCCTACTGGCATCCAAACACAACAACTGGGCCTTAATGTAGATTCTTTAGAAACCACTGAGAGCAGCTGGGGGCAAACCAGTGTCTGCCAGTCTTGCTGCATCCACGGCAACCAAATAAACACAGCAGCAAACTGTCAGGTTAAACTTAAGCCTCGGCCGGGGTGATGTTTCAGTGTCACCAGAAAGCTAACCTTGCACGCTGGCAGATGCCAAATGTGTTCTGTTGGCATAAATCTGTTCGATTGCCTTTGACCCATGTCATTTACTTTTCTGTTTTCAGTGAGGAAATTTCATCAGCCATGTATCAAACTGCAGACAGCCACAGCAATAAGGTCAGGGAGATAGAAGGAAATAAGAAACCAATTAGTCAACACAGAATATCAGAGAATAAAATTATGTGCTAATGTTCAGAAACAGCCTGTCAAATAATCAAAATATACAAAAATGTTTGAGTAAGAATATCAGCCTGTGAATGAGTAGTGAGGGATAGACGCATGAACATTTTTTTTAAAATATACTTTTAAAAGTATTGGTCACTGCAGCCAGAATTTTATCTTTATATTATATTTATATTTTTGGTACTACTTTCCAATAAATCACCATTTGTAAAGGATTAAGAAGTTGCAACTATAAATAGCTTTATTGATGATTAATGCTTAATGCTTCAAAGATCAGTTATAAACCATTAATACATTTAATTAAAACATTTTTTTAAGAACCAGCAGCAAGTGTTTCACTAAAACACGACTTTAAAGTGATTTAAATTCATATAGACACAAACATGTTCAGTAGCTTGCATTTTGAATTTATTGCAAACATATGTAGGCTTGTCAGTCTACATTCCACTCATTTATCATTTTGCTTTCAAGTGTGTAAGTGCAAACACAGCACTTACTCCTCCTTTCAAGTTACCTCTCTGCTGTCATCCTGACCTTTGTCGTTTTCGGGGGCAGACATGCAACACAGTTGACATCAGGCGTAAAACATATAGCCTACAATGCAACTTTATGACTATACAGCCAATGAGACATTTCATTCAAATACGCACCCTTTTGCTTTGAACATTCACATTCACTTATCTCAAACCATCTCACCTTCACTTAACCCTCTTTCTTTAGACAAAAGCAAGCTTCAATACAGTCAGTTTCCCATATTTAACCTCAAAGTCAGCAGGTTTGTTGGAGGACATCTGGAAGAATGTTTTAAAACACATGATATTATCTATGTTACAGTGCATCTTTGGGCAAAATTCATCAGAAACTATTACAAATGTTTCACTTTACAATAAGTCGACATAGTGCTCCTGCTATCACCAAGGTTTACAGCCATTCATTGCTGTCAGTGCTGGCGACAAAATAGTGACAATCCAAGTGCATTAAGTACATTATTATTCACAGATAAAGGTCATACAAGAAACGAATAATAACCGGGAGAAAGATTTTTGTGAGTTGTATGTTTATGACAACATTAGAATAGCTGGTTTATTGGAGTTAACAAATTAAAATATATTTTTGATTTAGTTATTTTTCACAGGGTTTCAAAAATTATATGTTAATGTGCTAAAATAAATTCTCTGAAATTAGTAAAATATGTTTCTTATCTTCCACCTTTTTGGCTATTCAAGCACACACTTTTAAAACTCTATGACAGGAGGTAGACTATCACATCTCTCAATTTTGACTTGTTCATACTAAAAAAAAAATTGCTTTGGTTGCTTTATTCTTTGGATTCTTGGCAAAATTTATGGAGATTTTTAAAAATTTATTAAAAGTAATTTTTATACAACAGATCTTATAATTTTTAAATAAATACCTTTTTACTTGCACTGCTCTCTCCTGCTTGAGGGGCAAATTAATTTATAATAATAATGAAAATACTATTATTAAGAATGACAATGTGACCATTACATGTACAAATTTAAGTTACATTTCACCTCAAAATGCATTAAATGTTGCAACATCAAGTTGCTCTAAAGAGCAAACCATGTCCAATCTACTGCAATGTCAACAACAAGTCTTCCAAATCACTGCATGAAGTCATATCACTTATAATGAAATCAACTCATAGGGCAATTTTTTTATACAGTCTGTTGTCACAGAGGCATAATAACATGTATTTTACAGAATGAAGGTACATAGACTGACCAGCAGCTCCAAATACCTTTTTAAAATGTGTTTAGTTTTGAAACATGCTAAAAACAGCAATCTATCATTTGCATTATTTCTACATAGGATGCTGGTATATCTGAGTCAAGTAAAGCACAATAAACTATGATACCCCATTGCATATTCAAAAGGAAACAGGACAGATCTGTAAATCTTTAAATATTGTCTGCATGTTATCAGTTCATGGATAATTTTCATGAAAACCTCACTTTATACACATTTAAGTGAAAGAGGTCAAGGGGTTTAAACAAGAGAAAATGGTATTGCTGTGTGTAAAGTGTAAAGACACACCCAACACATACAGTCTGTACGCTCCTGTCTACAGCAAAGTAACATGACTCCTTGTTGTACGCTCACAGAATGCTGAAATGCCATACATAACTCTGCCACAAACACGAACACATTCAGACGCACACGCACTAACTCCCATCTCATTACACAAAAGTGTAAAATAAACCAACACCATTAGAGGAAGTTATCCCCTAATTGTCTGAGCTGGCTCTGACTCATTAGGCCCAACACTACTTAGTGACCTAAGTACACTGTTGAACCATAGTCCCAGCTCTGCTACATCTGAGCAACACACCTGGTGTGTTTCTCTGTTCTTCTCACTGTAACATGCAAGGAGCGTGCTTTTAAAAATTTAGCATACACCACTTCATACAGCGCATCAGTTGTGTATAGGTATTAGGAGCATTTTGTGAGTCATGACACAGGATACATTTAGAAGTAGAACATGAGCCACTAAGTCCTGAAAGACAAGAAAATGTTATTGTGAATGTGAAAAATAGTGTATTGTAGAGAGTAATAATTTGAGACACATGAATGTCAGATATATATAGAATTTGATTAATATTTACTTGTGACATCTCTAAAATATGATATTTTGAAATACAGTAATTTTAATTTCTCTTCTGACTTACTGTGAAAGAAAAGATGGAGTGATTCAACATTATCCTTAATTCTTTTAATTCAGTGCAGACATATGGTCCCTGTCCTCAGAAAACTGTGTAAAATATACATCATAGGTTTTATTTACTGTAATTAATTATCTTATTGTGTGAATTAAAGTAAGACTATGTAACCATGAAGCCACTGTGACCCTGACCTTGAGTCAATTGCTTAAAAACATCACTATTAGCAACCTTACTCAGGACCATGGATTTATTATGAGAACTGGGTACAGGACACCAAGATGCTGCCAATCCAGGATCATGGTGACAGGCTAAGCAAGGTAAGCTACTTCCTCAGTCATGAGGAAAGCTTGAGAGCTTTACCTTCAGACTTGGCTTTCTCTTCACCACAACAGTCTGGTGCAGCATCCTCATTACTGCTGATGTGATTGCTTGACGGCATCCTTTACCCCCGGTGCCTACCAGTGGGTTCTTTGCTTGCCAAAGATGTCACATTTGCAATAGAGGCTTTGAACATGTACCCAGGTTAACCTGGGTCTATTATCGATGCTTTCTGGGCTGCAAGGGAGTTTTTGTTGTAGTGTCACATTGGGATAAACTGGCAACAAAGCCAACTGGAAACCTCTCATGGTGAGGAAGAGTATGTTGTTTCCCTCTCGTTTTACCATGTGATAAAACCTCTGAAAGGGTTATCTGTGACATCCTAAAACATATTTTAACAGTAACTAAACTAGAGTGATAATGTCAGCAAATTGACTCGGTAATGTCAGTTAGTCCCTGTTGTACCATATCAAGACAGATTGTAGCAAGGTTGCACGTCATTGCTTATGAGTTGAACTTTTCATTGGTAAAAGGAAAATGTTTTTTTTTCTTTTCAAAAGTTACATAGACTTGCTTTAAAGACATGCTAACATTAAACTCAGTAATAAAATGGATGAGTAGCACTCAACTGTAATAGAAGACCTGCCTTGTTTCCTTTTGAATAGACATGGTGCAGGGCCCAAACAGCATTTCAACAGAGATAAGTGTTCATGACAGCAGCTGAATGGAAAGTATTACAAAGCTGATTCATATAGCAACATGGCAGAGCATTAGCCAGAGGACGTGGCCAAATGCGTTTACCCTACAAAGTGCTGCAATGCATAGAGAATACAGTAATGTCTGCTGCAAGGATAAACAACACAACGGAGTGGGGGTAGAAATTGTTATTGTTGGAAGTTGTCCGGGGGAGCACAGGGTGGAGTGATGGGTGAAAACTGCACTTACGGTGAATGAAGATTCTTCAAGGGAGATGTCTAAAGGTGATAAAGAAGAAATGAAACAAGTGTTCAAGTTAGATAAATGCAATGTAAACACAGTGTATTTTGAGAGGAAAAATTAATTTAATTTAAATATTATTCATTTTTGTCCAGTTGTGACATATAAGCCATTGTAATACAGTGATTTTTCAGTTTGCAGTTCCTGGTTGTGAACCAGCTGACCAGATTCAGCCAGATCACTGCCGGGGGGCACACTACTCGATTTGTTTATGTAGGAGTGCTGGAGATCGGCAGAGCTGTCCACCTCCTTCTCCCCGTTTAGGAAAAAGCAGAGGGGGAGGGGGCTATAAAAAGTTGACCCCATCTCAGCCCCACAGACTCGCTTCCAAGCTGGAGCTGCAGCAGCATCTGATCTCTCCGAGCAGCTGTCCTCTCCCTGCATCAGCACAACAAATACTTTACATTGCCTGACCTTTTCCTCCTGCATCACTATCCCAGCGATGCCCCCACGTCCCTCCGCCCCAAACACCCCCACAACCAGCAGCTACACACACATACACACACACACACGCACATACACACACACACACACACACACACACACACACACACACACACACACACACACTCACACCGTGTTCCCCTTCACACCACTACTCAACCCCATGCTAGGCCCCTGCCTGCCACACACCCAGCTGACATGAATCCCTCATGCTCATGCAGTTGTATTATTGCTCTGACACATTAGCTGAGAATCGACTGTGACTAGTTGTAAGTGTGTATCTGTAAGTGTATGAGAAACTGAGAATTAAATTTGGATTTGATGAAGAGTTGGCTGCAACTTGTACCAATGCAAAGAGCAAGGGAAGTTTTCTCTCTCTGTCAGCCTTTTGGTATTTCTTTCTATATTCTTTTTATACTTCTTCATTCTCCTTGCTTGCTTGTCCATTTTGGGAAACTCATTTATGACTTCATCTCCAGCAGAGTGGGTTTCTGCAATGATCTCCTACTGCCTGGTCTCGAAGTGGTCGCTAAACAACTGCATCAAATTGATAACTGGAAAATATATTACTGGTATTTTGAAGTCCTTACACTTAAATCTACTCTTTTAGACCTAAAGTAAAGCAGTGGGGAATAGAGATGCCCTGTTATTGTGCATGCTGTGCCCCGTTATTAGTGGGACACTTTAATGGAGCAGCGCCCTCATTAATGTTATTAGTTGCACCTGTGCTTTTCCTGCTATGGCATGTCAAACTGTCTGCCATGAACAACTTCTATGAAGTTTAACTTGGAAGTCAAAGTCACCAGAAAACAAAATGGCAGATGACTGAATGGTGTAACTATGTTACATACAGGGCATGTTTAGATTGTGCTTGATTGAGATCTGCCTCAGTTTTGCTTCACCCATTAGATCAGCACAACCTTTACAACCACAATTACAACATGGACTTACAGCCAACCCAACTTCAAGCTGAGCAGAGGTCTAATCAGCAACAAGTGAAAACACCTGTGAGAACCAGGCTAAGATGTGTATACTTAAAAGGTTTATGCAGACTTTTCTTATACTGGTTCAGTCAACATAGCATGGTAGAGATAAAATGTAAGCTTTAATCTGAAGTACAGCTGATGCTCACAAATTGCAGCTTAAAAGTTGAGCCAAGACAACAGACAACATTGAGCTGAGTGCTAAGTATAAGTTGAAAATGTTTTGTTTTTTTATTTTTTGTGAACCGACCATTTTAAACTGTGTAATTAGGTTGTTTTTTCCTGTAAATGTTTTTTTAAGTAGCCTATGACAAACTTATGAACATGTTCCACACCTATTTTGTTGAAAAGCCATTATAGTACAATCTCTGCTGTCACTTATTAAAAATGTATTATGAAAAATGACAGTAGCTACAGTACACTTTCCATGTTTTAATATTTTTTAGTACGCCAACTCTTGACTGAGGATTTCATGTCAGTATAATAAGCAGGCCTGTTCCAACTCATTTAGCAGGGAGAGAGTTCCACAAAATGTCATGAACAAGGAACGAACACATTAAAGAGCTGTAATGTTATCTGAGTAATTAAAGCATTTTATAACACTGATTAAGAATAACTCCAAGCAAGGTGTCACTGACTGGAATAGTTTCCTGTGACACCTTCCAGCCCTGAGAATAAACCATGTAAACAAACTCGTCTCACACTATCAAAATAGCCCGACGGTGTGTAATGCAGAGAAAAGGGACTTGCTGTGAGCTGCAATCTCCCAGCAATCTCCCAGCAAGCCCAGCCGCAGCTCAGTGGAGTCAGGTTGCCTGTCATGAAGCTACTGCATGTCTATTAACACTGACATGCCACTTCTGCAGCAGCCGAGTTGGTCTTGTGCTACACATTTACAACACAAAAATTAAGAAAAAAAAAAAGCTAGTAAGTAAGCTCAGTAGCTTCACACATGCGCAGGCCTCTCTGGCTTTTTTTTTTTTTTTTTTTAAGATTATTTTTTGGCATTTCTGCTTTATTTTATAGCAATAGTTGAGAGAGACAGGAAAGTCAGGGGAGAGAGAGGGAATGACCCAGGCCTGAACTGAACCTGGGCTGCTGCAGTAAGGACTCAGCCTTTGCACATGGTACGCGCTCTACCTGGTGAGCTACCGGGGCGCTCCGTCTCTCTGGCTTTTTACTCGAAAGCTGCATTTTTAGAGAGTGAAACAAACATTTGTACTGTCTAATAGTCATTTCATTCAATGCTACATGCAAATGAAACTATTTTTAACTTTTTGGTAGTTTTTGATAGGACTACACTTACTCATACTTGAGCAAGGTTCAATGCTATTCAAGTATTCTTGCCATCCCTCAGTGCAAGACTTGCATAACAACTGAACTGCAAACGTGCATTACAATGGCATATACAACAGTTATTAATGCATACAAATGCACCATTAGGCTTCAGTGAATATATAACAATTGACAGTGTACACACACTCAGTATAGAAGAGGGAATAACACTTAATCCACTGTACCTGTTCAAGTTAAAATGGATTTAGGGGTGTGTCCATCATTCACACAACTGTCACTCAAAATGTGGGATTTGTGCAAGCTTACATGTATGATGAGATATTTTCTTGGTCACCGATGCTCCACTACAAAACTCATTGTTGTTCCGTCAAAGGAAGGCGGGGCGATGATTCTTGGACCTTGTTGTGTCGTGATGCTGATAACCGGCTTCCTCTCGGAGCTTGCTGCACTTCCTCTGCTGGTCACATGTCCCAAACTCACAGGTAGATGCGGAGCCTCGCCTGTTGCACTGTAATATGCACTCTCTGCACCTGTTGTGTTACTTTCCAGCCTTGGGCTTTTGGCATTTTTTACCTTGTCTCCACCTGCATCCTCAGCGTGGCATGGAGACTGTGGAAACACCGCCTGAGCTGGGAGGGTGGGTGAGGGGATGAAGCTTGGGTAGATCATGTAGGTGGGGGCGTACGCTCCAGGGCTCAGTGTCAGTGGGGACAAAGAGAGAGGCACTGGAGGAACAGGGGCGATGGGTGCCACAGGTGAATGTGGCATGGGCACATCCACATACTGGCCTGTCTCAGGGTCAAACAGTCGCTTAGTGGTGGCCTGTATGGGAGTGTCGACCAGGTAATAGTGTCCTGTGGTGGGGTCCAAAAGCATCTTGCGCTGGGTTTGTGGGACTGTCTCTCCAGTAGGAGAGGTAGGTGACACAGTGGGAGAGAAGCACAACACCTGCTGCTGGGTTTGTGGCCTTGTTGTTGCTGCTGCTGCTGAGTGATGGTAGATGCTTGTAGCCGGGTACTCCAGGATTAACGGAGACCTTTTCTGCTCAGGCATCTTGCTGTCACTTGTCTGGGCTTGACTGACATTTGAATTCCCCTCCCTCGACACAGGCTCTCGATTCAGCAGTTTGATTTCGTTTGTATACCCCAGGCCTGGTATGGTTAAATAGTTCTCCGAGTCTGAGCAGCCCTGTGTGACAGTGGGATTACTGGCACTGATTTTGACCTTTCCCTGCTCCACCTGGCCGTGTTTCGGAGGCTCTATTTTCACTGACAGTGGAGTCGCCGGTGTCTTGGAGCTTTTCATAGTCGATGGTGTTTGCAGCGCGGGGCTTTGTAGAACAGAGTTACTAACTGAACTAATGCTGACATGAGCCTTACTGCTGTTGCCAAAATGAAGGACACTTCTGTTACTAAATGTTTTACTTTGCTGTGATTGTGTTTTAAAAGTGTCATCGTTATACGGGACATGTACAATATTCACAGTACCTTTCCCTTCCTGTGGTCTGCCTGTTTCTGTGCTATTTATCAGAGACCGTGGAATCCTGTCAGTGTTTGCTGTCTCCAGCTCGTCTGCTCCCTGCTCCTCCCTGGCAATAAGTGAAAGCACGTGGCTGTCTCTGATGGGTTGAGGAGCTTGAGTTTTACGCTTCCATTCATTTCTATCAAAAACATAAAGCTGCTCCATTGTTTTGACTGCAGCTTTAAGCTTCTCTAGCGCAGCTTGTTTTGGTACAGTAGGCTCATTTCTCCTCTCGACTGTCTCACCTGTGAACTTGTCCTGCCTCTGTTTTGTCAGCTTGGTTTCAGTGTTTGGTTGGGTTTCTGATTGGTCAGGGTGTAGCTGTTTGGATACAATAGGTGGCACCATGCTAGTCATACAGTGTGGTGGTGCATTTTCACTTTGGGATGTTTCAGATGGGACACCTTCCTCTTCTTGTTTCTGTGATTTAACATTTGTTTTAACAGAGTGGCATTTAATCACGATGGGAGATGGTAATACATGTTTAACCGGCTCCTTTTTGGCCTTTTCCTCAGGTTTTTCAGCTGCTGTGGAACATTTACTGTCACTATTACCCAGGTATGAGCTTTTTACTAATTTACGCACATCCCTGACATGATATATTGGTGTTTGAAACTTTTGGTGTTTTTGGCATTTGGTGTCCCTTATGTCTCTAACTGTGAAGTTGGGGATTTTATCTGTTGCAGATAAAATGTGGTATTTAGCATCACCTGCTGCCCTGAATGTGTTAACAGTGTTGTAACTTATTTTAGGGGTTAACAGGTTGGCAATATTCAGTGTACAGCCTTTATTTTCTTTCACACTTCTCAGGCATATTTTTATCTCAGGTGTTTTCCCCCCTTTCTCGTTTTCTTCTTTCTCTATTATTTTTCCATTATTGCCTGTTTTGAACTCTTTTTCACTCTTCTGTGGGACAGCAGGTGTGTCTGTGACAGGTGTGTGGCTTGCTAAGTCTTCTGTAAAATCCTTCTCTTTTGAAAGAAGACGGCAGCTCGGAACAAAAACCAGTTTTGTCAGCATGCTGCTGGTGTCTAAATCTTCCTTTGCTGTAGTCTGTGCGTCACTTGCAGCTGTGTGCTCAGCCTCCTTTACAGGTTCTGGCTCATCTACTTTCAATGAATTAAATGCACTACTCTGGCTGTGGCTGAGCGCTGCTTTTGGAGGCTCATGTTGTCCCTTTTCTGAGTCATCCGGTGCTTTGTTGCTTTTCTGCTCCTCTGCCGGCTCATAAGAACTGGGTCTGCTGCCCTCCAGGTGTTGGTCATCAGCAGAATTAACAGTGAATCCTGAGCCTGATTCTGAGGTTTGTCTTTGCAAGCCTCTTCCCAGACCCCTATCTGGGGAGAGTGCTGGGTATGTGTCACAAAGTTCACCCCTTTCCATTTTGCGCTCCTGTTCAAACTGCATCTTTTTGGAAATCACATTTTTCAACAGACTTGATGCAAAAATTGCCCTCTTGTGTGTGTCCCCCATGCTGTCTGTGTGATGAGATTGCATCTCACTTCCTGATCTCCCAGTAACCTCGTTGGATCGCGTGTTCTTGGAGCATTTTGGACGCCTGGTTCCTTCGGGTGCTTCGACGTTGCAGCGGAAATTCAGCGTCACTCCACGCTGCTTTTGCTGAACTGGATCTTTCAGTTCGACCTTTTTGCTCGAGGAGGAAGACTGTTGAGAAGTTGTTCTCTTGTTCAATGCGGACTTACCATGCCTCTTACTTTCCACAGTCTTATTCATTTCCAGTCTTGCGCTCGAAGTCTTGTGCGCAATTACGCTCCGCTCTCTTCCCCGCGATATGTTTCCATAATTCCAGTCCACATAGGCTGACCACTTATTCAGCCCATATTCCGACATAGAGGACTCGCTAGAGGTGCTAAGATTGATGGTATCGAAGTATGGACATGCCAAGCTCCGGAAAGACTTGGCGGTTAAATTACGCACCTCTTTATCAGCGTCATCTAGCTCACTGATGGAGCTGGACGCTCCGCTGGAATACTCATTAATATCTTTCCGTCTCAGTTTGGTTGCAAGGTGCTGACGGCCCGGAGCAGGGATGAAATATTGGGCTCTATCGCCCGAGGGCCCCGCTCTGGCGCCAGAGCTCACAAAAGAGAAGTGGCTCCTGTCTCCAAAGTGTTTCGTGTAACTACAGGTGCTGTTGTCAGGGATACCGACGGGCTCGTTCACCGCTCTGGAGGAGGTTTTTATTGATAGATGAATTTTCCCCGTATTTTCGTCCCCGCAAATTTGGTTTTTGCACACGCTCTCATCTGAACTGGCGCATTTGTCCGAGTCACAAAGATCACTCTCCTCCTCCTGCTCGGTGCTGACAACTGCTCCACCGAGATTAGACTGCACTTTCGCCTGGCTCCTGCCCTCCAGTATCAAAGTCCCCTCCTGCGTTTCATCGCTCTCAAAAGAGGCGTAATCCACAAAGGAATAGACCAGGTTGTCGTCTTCAAAATCCCAACAGGTCCCTCGCCCCAGGTCGTAATCTACGTCGTGGTCGAGCTCGGTCAACTGGATTTCGTGCGTGGTGATATAGTGAGACTCGTCCTCCACGGTGTCGGAGCCGCAGTGGTCGGACAGCACCCCGTCATCAGACTCCGTTTTGCTGTTCAGATACATGTCCGTGTACTGGAGCTCATCACTCTCACTGCACACATGCTCGCTGCAGTCACTCGGGGCGAGCTCGGCCTGGAGCAGCTTGTCATTCTCTGAGCCCGGATCAGTGTTGGGAAGTTTGGTCAGAGTTTCCAGTGGAGGCTCACCCGAGACAGGCGCGGAGACGGAGGCCCGCTTGTCCTCCGTCCCCTGCTTGGAGCTGTCGTATTTGATAACGGAGAGCTGGTTCCCCTCGCCAGTGAAAGTAACCTTCACTGTTCTTGCCCCGTCCGGTTTCATGTCCAGATCCACATAGTTGGACTCGTCGCTTTTTGTCTCGGTGGTCTGGCCTCTACTGTCCGTGTTGTCCTTATCTTTGTCCTCTGGGAGCAGCTTCCTGTGAAGTCCGGTGTCATCTAGGTAAGTGAGAGTTTCCTCCGCTGCTTCCATTTAGTCCGGTCTTACCGTCAGGTGGTCCTCGTTTACGATGTTATCCTGACACAGGACGGGAAAACTCTGCAGGCTTGAGCCACAGGAGGACGGAGAGCGAGGGGGGTGAGTGGGTGAGCGAGAGAGGGAGAGAGAGAGAGAGAGGGGAGAGGTAGAGAGAGAGAGAAATGGGGGGAGTCCCAAAGAAAATCCCCTGACGATTTCTCTGTGATGTAGAGAGGCTGTCTTATACTTTGTGTAACATTTTCAAAGTTTTTTTTTGTTTGCTCAAAGAGAAGCTAGGTGGTCTAATGAAAGTAACTAATAAAAAGTGCCAAGATTCAGCACCTTTCCTGGGAGAACAGCTCCTCTGCTGGACCACCAGAATCCATTAAAATTACTTTTTTACTCAAATAACAGTGGCTGTTGGATATCCAGTGGCTTTAATTGTGAAGCACTTTGTCTTTATCTTTATGGAGCAGGATTAAATTCAAGTGTGAGGCTCCCTACTGACAACAACTGTTTGTCTTAATTTATTATATAAATATAAAGAGTTAATATGAGTTAATTTGCTTTTAGTTCATTTACATTTAGCACCTTAATGCCTGAGATACTGTATGTTAAAGTTAGAATGATTATATGGCTGTTGTACACTCTAGTTCATGTTAGAGTTGTATTCAGTTAATTATGTAGTGATAACACACAGTATTTCTGTTTAGGTAAAAAACAGCCCCAGTTTTGTGGATAAAAATAAAATCACTGACTTTAGTTTATTATTATTATTCAAAAAACTGATATATATTGGACAAAGGTTATACAGCCTAACAGCCATCAGCTTTTAAAGATTGTTGTCTAATTACTGTAAGTACTGTGAGTTCATATTGAGTTATGAATTTTGTTTTCTTGGAATAATAAATGTATCATCCACCGACTGGTTGTTCTCACAGGAGGGACAAAAGTACAATACAATGTCAAGAAAAAAAAAAGAAGCGACACTTACAGTATTGGCACTAATAGTATTTGTGGAAAGAAGAATGCACTAGCGTTCTGCCCACCCGTTGAAACAGCTGTCTGCCCTCAGTGGAGAGAAATATTCACCACCAGCTGGTGCCACTCAGCTGAAATAATTTACTATAAGTTCTTCCATTCATCTGCGGATGTAGCGTGAGATTTGTGTCAGTCTTTTCTGTCCAGAGCTCATGTGCTCAGTGTCCGACCACTGGGCCAATGTGGGGTTTGTTGAAAGCTGGACAAAAGTATATTGAGAAAAAGGATGTTTGATATCAGGAACAATGATGAATTAGGCTGTTTTTGCATAATAATGATTCAGTTTTTGGAGCTCTGTACAAGTGTTGAAAACACAAGTGTTGCTTCTGGACATGGCCCCAGATTGGTGGTATGCAGCAGGGAGGGGTTGGGCCAACAGTTGCTCCATGTGGAGGGCACACTGACAGCAATATCAAGGACAGAGGCCACCAGTATAAACCCTTTGTCACCCTTTAATCCCACTTTTACCCTCAGTGTCATTAATGTGGTGTAACCTCTTAGAAATCTTTTTCTCAGCAGGGATGGAAACAAGTATATTTACTCAAGTGCTCTACTTAAACACAAGTTTGAGATTGAGTGTTTGTTACTTTATACTTTGCTCCACTTTTCAGAGGGAGAAATCTCGTACTTTTAACTGCACTACATTAATTTGACAGCTGTAGTTACTAGTCACTTTATGGATTAAGACTTAAAAAAATATGCACATTGAAAATCAACACATTGTTGCAATTCAATCAGTGGTTTGTGACCTTTTTGGCGTGTTGTCCCTTAAAAGAAGTGAATAGTCAGGGCCCATCGTCATGTTTCAGATGTCTATGAGTTGTTAGCTGTTTCACCGACAAGACATTTCCCCTCCAAATGACTGTTCCAGGCCTAACGAGGTTAAATTATCCAGTATTTCATAAATCAAAAAAACAAAGATTAGAGAAGTCCGAAAAGGAGGCCCGACCCCTAGTTTGGGAACCACTGGACCAAAATGCTGAACTGCATATAAAGGAGTTAAAACTTGCTCCACTTCAACCAGCTACAACAGTAAAAGTGCTCATGCACTGACTGACTGAGACCACTCCCATCAGGATAGAAAAGTTTCATCTCATCGTAGGATAAAGGTGATCTCTCAGAACAACTTTGTATTGATTTGCAGTGACCCTTCACTCTAACTGGACAAGTGGACCCAAACCATGCCAGTAAAATATCAGCATAGCAGAGCCACCAGATCCCCTCACTGCAGGGGTGAAGCATTCAGGCTTGTACCGTTCTTTTGGTGTACGCCACACATGCACTCACCCACTTGTTGAGAATATGGTGGAGGATGACTCATCTGACCCTATCGTGTTTTTCCACATCTCTGTAGATAAGTCCCTATGCTTTCAGCATAACTGAACTCATGTGAACTCATGTGCATTCATCTCTCTAATGAGGAGTTTATGCACTGCAAACCTACTATAACATCCCTCTCCATGTAACTGTTGATGGACTTTTGTTGCTGACACAGTCTGATCAGGTCCTGCATTGACATTCTCAGTCACTTGAGGAAGAGTTGCTCTTCTATTTCATCTTACATACCGCATAATGCTCCATCATCATCATATGTGTGCTGTCGACCACAATGTCCAACCCTATTTACTTTCCCATAGATCTAAATGCAGATGTCACTTCAGTCACTTTTCCTATTGAAACACTAGTCAGTTGAGCAGTTTTTGTGACTGAAGCTCCTGCAATGTGACAATCAACCAGAATCAGAATCAGCTGGGCTTGCTCAGCATTTTTTTTTACCAGCCACAGAGCATGGCCTGATGTTTACTGCTTAATTGTCCCATGCAGTGCACATGTGTGGAAGCATCTGCATTCATTATGTTTCTCCACTCATTTATTCAGGGTTTTCCTTTAATTTGTCACCCATGTGTACAAAATACCTCTTTTCTGCACTTTTCACTTAAGTATGAGTTTAATGCTGGACTTTTGCTTGTAACGAGTATTTTTACATTAATGTATTAGTAAATTTACTAAGTAAAAGAAGTAAGTACTGCTCTCACCACTGTTTTTGAAGCGTTTAATATCTAATAGATGAAGCCTGTCAGTGTCTCTACTGCCAAGCAAAGACAAGCAACAGTAAACTACTAAAGGTCATGACTCAAGGTTGGATTTCACATCATCAAATTATACCTATAATTAAACTGCATAACAGTACTTTAATACCATAGAATCTTTTCTACTAGTAAATCCTCTTAGTGAAGTGTTAGAACAAGTGATAAAATGAATTGAATTAAAGTTACTTTTATGGATGTCATGCAGTTATTGTACAAATACCACTGTAGCTGTGCTGTGACAGTCCTGATGAGAAAATCCTGTGTGGAAAAACATTGCACATGTGGCATGCATTTCCTCAAAGGCTGAGCTGTTAAAGTTTTAATTTTTCTCTTTCTCTGCCAAACCATGAACGTACACAGGTTGAAGTGACCTCCACAAAGCTGATAAATTTAGGTAGCTATTTAAAATGGGAACACCACTCACACAAGCACGTTGAGATCAGTTTCTTACAGTGGCTACATTAAAAAACAGCAGGTGTTAAATCATGAGCACCATTAATCAAAGCCACCAACAGTCTAAGTGAAGACCTTTTCAACCCTCGCTCTCACCCTCACACATCAGATGTTGATATAGAGAAGTCACTGCTGAGAATCAATACACAATGTGTACCTACTCCCAGTGTTAACAAGTGTTGATTTTACACTAAAAGTTACTGCGTGGTCGGACATTCGCAGAGCTGACATGAAAGTGTTTGATAAACCCAGGGCCTGTGTGTGCTCCTGGGAAAGATGTAGGTTTTTACTTTTTCTTCATTACATTTATTAATTATATTTATTCCTTCATCACGTTTGTTATATTGCATATATATACTGCTTTATTAATGCCCAGGGGCTATTCACAATCCAGCAGTATATATAAAGTCAATAAAATGAACAGTTTCAACTTTAAAGTGATGTAAATTAGAGCATCAATAATTATAATCCAATTAAATACTCTATTCTGAAAGGGGCAATTCTGCATAATAAGAACCTACTTACTTTTGATACTTTAAGTGTATTATGATGCTAATGCTTTTGTACTTAAAATATTTGAATGTAACAGTATATCTGCTTCTTCCATCACTGTTGATTATTTTATTTTAAAAGTTAAGATTCATTCAGACTCATGTGGCACATCCCAGACTCCATACTCGAAATACATTTAAATACATATTATTATTATTATTATTATTATGGTTTATTAATAAGATAGCCTGTTGTTGATTTAATGCAAAATTAGTTGAATGTCCAAAACAGGATCTCACAGTTGAGGTTTTCCAGTCATTACCAGCGGTGGAAGAAGCATTGAGATCCTTTGCTGAAGTAAAAGTAGAGCTTCCATAGTTACAATTAATAGTAATATACTAAAAATGAAACTGTATTACAGGGTTAATTCTATTTTACTGCATTATTATATTAAAGAAAATTTTAATTTTATTTGAAATACAAGATTTTGGCCTTGAAATATAAATTACATCAATAATACTGAGCACAGACTGATTCATTATTTGTACAATATCAGGATATGTTTGTTTTTTTGTGAGGTCGTGCCTTCTAGCAGTGACAGTGAGTTTGTGACACTGACCTCTGCGCCTTCTGCAGCTTCTGACTGGGAACTGGAGAAGTTTGAGAGCTTGAACACCTGCTGTGAGGCAGTCACCAGCAGCCAGACGCTGCTCTTCTCCAGGTTACCTCCACCCCCCACCTCCCAGCCCTCAAGGGTTTCATGGTTCAAAGGGTAAAAGGTTGTCTTTGGATTTGAAAGTGTCGTATGTGAGCTAGTTCAGTAGATGTAAGGGATTAGAGCGTCACCCTAAACCACCGATAATGACAATTCTGTTAAGAAGGATAACTGATCACTGTGAGTATTTAATCACTTTTACTGGTGAATTTATAAATATGACAGATGTGATGACGCGACACATTTATTGAGGCATTTATGTCCAAATGAAGCTGAAGAAGTGTATTTTTACGATACAGGAAAAGCCGCCATATTGTTTTGTCAAGTCAGTTATAGCCCAGTCAAACCTCAGAAATTTGCATCGATATCTGACCTTTTAAACTGACTCGCTAACATGAACACACAAGTGACAGTTTCTAAATCAAAGACAACATGTAGCAGTTTTGAAAGCTGGAATAAACACAGTGGAGGATGTATGAATAGAGGGTCTTGTTTTATACAGATAATATAGATTATAAAGATTATAATTAATTTACTAGTACCACTTTCTAATAAAACTCCCATTATAAAAGGCTTATAAGATGTAATAAACTGCTTCATTAATGTTTAATTAATGCTTGATAGATCATTGATAAGCCATTATCAGTTGATCATTGATTGCAGATCATCTGGACCAAAATTCATTTAATAAAAACTTTCTAATATTTACAAATGCCGACTTGGAAGATTATCGTAAAAAAAAAAAAATCTCAATGAATTGTAACCATTAACAACCACATAACTGATGTCTTATTGGAAAGTTAAAAAAAACACCTTTTTTTGTTTATTAAAACATCACAAACATTTATTATTATTATTATTAGTATTAGTATTATTATTCATTATAACCAAATATATTAACACCATCAAAAAGCCTTTCTTACAACATTGCAACCCAAATGTTGCTGTATTAATAGCATCAACAAATAACTATCAATAAAGTCATTAGCTGCTACCAAACTCTATAGAGGATGCCTCATTAGAAAATGGTCTCAATTTACTTTATAAGAGTTAAAAGTTCAACATCAGTCTTGATACATCGGATGGCACCAAAGTTTAAATAAAAACTAAATCCTACACATTTTCATAAAATACCTGGAGTGTTAATATTACCAAACCAAATCTGTTTACCACATACTGTAATAATGGTTATTATTACTGTCATTACCATTAGGTCTGATTACAGTTTACAGGTGTTACAGTTGTAGTATACCTTAACGTTACCTGTTACCAATTGAATCTGTTTGGTGGCTTGCACAATAACCACACTGCAACTCCTTAAACTGACGTTATTCTGCAGATTCACTGCTTATTTAACTTTTTGGTGTGTATTTTACATGTCATGGTTTCAGTTACAGCAGCGTTATGTTCAGAAATTGTACTCTAAAAAACATAGCGTAGTCTGTTTTACAAGTGTAAACCTACAAGGAAAATAGACCACAGATGGCAGTTATTGAACTTAATTTATCTTGATATTTCTGTGTGTGTGTGTGTGTGTGTGTGTGTGTGTGTGTGTGTGTGTGTGTGGGAGCCTTGCTTTATTTGATACAAAAGCAATCAGTAACACTTCACTTTAAGTCCGTCTATTCCGCATTTAAGAGCAGAATATAAACATTTAATAAATGGTTTATAAGACAATATAATGTAGTTATAAGCAGATATAAATTAATACATTTAAAATGTTCATGTATGTAGTCTACAGTATTTTGAACAGTTAGAACTTCTCCCATAAGGAGACAAAAGTGTTTTACTATATTGTCATTCATTATCTGTTTATACAGCAGTCTGTACTCCTGGGTGTCCACAGGAGGAGGTATGTTTAGTGACAAATACACTTTCAGTGTTTCAGCTGTTTAACAGTGATTATTTTTGTACAAGCTGTTTTGAAGTTCCCTCTCACCACTGTTAGATGCTTCATTTTGATTTGTGACTAGGCCAAATAAAAAAGGAAATTTTATTGCGTTCATAAAGTTGTACAGACATCCAAGACATGAGCAAAATGTAATAAAATGACATTCACTGTGTCAACGGTCACAAGTGACAGACATCTGTTCATGTTTGTTAAAGGCAAACAGATCTTGCAGATATATTTGCATTTCATAGAAAATAAGTGAAAAGGTGTTTCCAGAGCCTTAATTACATCTTTATGGTTGTCTAGAAAGAAATAGTGTTTGCTGTAGCGTCATCTGGTTTCAGCTTGCACGTGTCCTGAGTGTTTCAGGGATACTCTAGCCTAAAAACAGCAATGCTAGATGCAGAGCTGTCATGAATTATGCCAGCAATGGCAGACATGTACGGTTGCTCCCTTCTGGCAATGGGTATTTGGTTTCACTCATGCTCATAGACTACTGGTCCTCCAGCAAAGGTCAGCACCTTGTTAGGGCCTGCTGCCATAACTAACAACCCTATTGTGTGAATGCTTCTTTCTATGAATAATGATACTGCGTTCCATTTAATATAGAGTAAATGTAGTGGAGAAGTTATTTTCATAGACATATGACCATGAACTGTGATTTGCTGACCTTTGTCACGCACAAAGAATCAAGTGAAACAGTTTGTAACTGTAAAAGTTATGAACTAGCAAGCAGATCAGACTTTATGTGACCAGCACAAATTACAAATCACTAAACAGACATTAAACCCCAAACTGCCCCTGTGCATGAGTGGGGAAAATGTAACTTAAAGTAATTTTGCCCAAAAGTGCCAAATTATGTAAATAATCTAATGTATATCATCAACCATTTTATTCAAAATAAAATGTAAACAAAAATCGCACTTTTATTGTGGCACAGAAGTTCTTCAATGTCTTTGTGATATTCTTTATCCTATTTAATTATTATTTTATCATTTTTTTAATACTTTAATTTCATGAATTTACTACATTGAGTGTGTAATTACTGGTTTCATGACTCCCAGTTCATCATGTATTTACAGTTGTTTCTATTGTAATTTAAAAAGGGAAAATTGAAATAAATTATGACAAGTATAAGAAAAAGTGTCCATTTTGTATGTTTTATTAATGTGCACACCTCTGAAGAAACACACTTGTTTGTAATATTTTTCTCAGTGATGTCATGCTTTTATTATACATTCTGTATAGCTTATTATGTTTAATTAGAAATCAGTTGTGTAATTTATGTGTAATTGTTGAAAAGAAAAAGACACAAATGAACAAAAGGAACATTAGCACACTGTAGGATGAGCTAATTTTTCCATATCTACTCTCTTCCCAAATTACATATTTTAAAGCTCCTTTGTGTAGGATTTGTGTGTAGGAAATGTATAACTTTAACTCCAGCCTGGGGAGACACAAGAATGAGATGGGATAAAATTCTATAAACAAAACCCAAAGTCACCACAATAATTTAAACAGCAGTTATAATCACATAAAAACTCAGACAGCAGCTTTAAGATATGAAAATTAGGACAGAAAAACTTAAAACACACATCATACTTTTCCCTTTGTCACCACAACTGTAACTTGTTCAGAGGAAGACTCTGGGTTTGTTCCCTCGTTGGTGAGCAGCAGCTTCCCTCTGGTGGTACACTCATGTAACAACAGCACACAGACCACTACAGTTCTCTTTGTGCTTTGGTCCACTCTAGTGCTTTTTTCAAATAAACAGGACATACTTTTCTATTTTCTAGATAATGAATGCATCAGTTATGGACAAGTAACTGAGGCTTCATTAGAAAATGTTATTGCCTTTGTAAGAGTTAAAAGTTCAACATGATCCTTGATACATTGGATGGCACCAAAGTTTAAATAAAATATATTATATAAAATATATTATTATATTACACCATACTATATTCTGTAATAATCGTTGTTACTGTACTATTACCATTAAGTCTGGTTAGTGGTGTTGTACTCATGTTACAGTAATGGTACCTTAATGTACCATTATAAATACGTCTATTTATTGGATAGCAGAATGACCACACCAACTAGATTCTCTGCCTATTTGACTTTTTGGGCCTGATGTACAGTGTGTTTTCATTCATCATTATTGACATCTTAAGAAAAAAAATCATGGTTTCAGTTACACTTTGAGAAATATTACTTTTCAAGATCCGTTTCATTTGTTTTACTTGAGGAAAACGTTTGACAGACAGGGATCAGGGATTATATCTGTGGGGCTTGAGAGAATAAGGATGATCAGCTGTTCAGCTTTGGAGTTACGATGTTATCTGGATTTCTTTCTTCTTTGGGTCTTTCTGCAGCTACTGATGAAGTCACATTAGTGTATCATGCAGGATATGAGCTAAATTGTGCATGGCCAACTTGCACTTAACAACTGTTACCATTCTCCATGGTGCTGGACTAATTACTTTATTCATGCCATATTTGTGTTTTATTATCGTTGTGGTGCACTGATATATCCAGTTTAAAAATGACTTTTTATAATATTAATTCAAATAATGATTAAATACATACGCAGGTTCATTTTAGTGCCCTCCCTACAATAGCTACCATTGCTTTTAGTGACGAGACGGCGTTTTTGTTTTTTTTCTACCACGGCCGAAACCGCAGCAGTCTTCCAGGGCGCCGCTGTAGCCGTATCAGCCTGTGTCAGGGCTTTTCCACTATAGTGCTGCATTTTGATGTCGCCCAGGCGGATAACATAAGCTGCTGCTAGCACTGACCTCGCTCTCATTTATTTATTTTTTTACTGTTTATTAATGTTGAAGAAGCAGAATGACATCTACTCAACAGTGGCTACTCGCCGGTTTTGCGCTTCTTTATATTTCTGGAGCAGTTGAATCCAAAAGGAATTTTAAATGCCCTTCAGGATGCTCCTGCTCCAAGGAGACGATCATCTGCGTCGGTGCTTCACAAGTCCCACGGACCATACCGAATGAGATCAACTCACTGTGAGTAACAAATCCTATTTCTTCAGACAAAGTAGGATTGTTTCTTCAATGTGGCAAAAGACAATCAGTGCTGCATTCAGGGAGTCCATTTACTTGCTGCCCTGTGCCTCCCTGCAGAGTTGGCACTTGGTGTGTCTGGTACAGAGTGTTGTGATGACCCAACCCTGAGTTTGACTGATGATTTTGTATGTGCCTCTTCCAACAGGAGCATGGTAAATGGATCTATTGCTGAAATTACTGAGGGGATGTTTTCACTAATGCCTTCTCTGCAGCTGTTGTAAGTGCATTGATTAACTGGTGTAGTGATTAACATTTAAGAGCTTAGCTGTTGTTGTAGACAACTAAACATACATGAACAAAAGACAGTAGATGGATTGTCAATTATACAAACTTTTTTTTTCTTCTGTCTTCTGTCATAGTAAGGTGAAGTTAGAAAAGATGTAGTTTTTAATTTTTTTATTTGTTTTTTCCTTACAGACTTCTAAATGCAAATTCTTTGACCACAATCAAAGATGATGCTTTCTCTGGTCTTCCACATCTAGAATATTTGTGAGTATTATTCAGCAGACATACTTGCTTTCTTACTGAAACTGACCAAATGACATCATGTATTTTGTATTTGCCATATATATTTTTTGCAGTTTTGCATGCGGAGCCTATAGTCACTCTCATATACACAACAGCAAACTTGAATATTCCACATAATGATTAATAATTATGTTAAAGAAATTTGTTACATCATGCTGCAAATACAACTGCAGACCATCACTTTTAATTACTCAAAGCATCATCAATACCAATCTGCTCATGACCAAAACTGTCCAAACTGCCCCAGCACCCCCACCAATAAGAAAAATAACAAGACACATACACAAAGACGTTTGTCTTCCCAGTATCTACAGACAAATAAACATTTATGACATGACACAACGTGATCATTTATTTCTTCTGCTGGTCCATGGCGATAAACTACAGTTTTATTATTCATTGAACAGGTTCATTGAAGGAAACAAGATTGACACTCTCACCAAAAATGCCTTTCGTGGTCTACGAGATTTGACTCACCTGTAAGTCTGTTATCATTCTCTCCACCAATCAGAAAAGAGATATACACTTAAAGCTCACAGTAGGCAGCACCTGCAGTACTGGCATCTAACTATTTCAGCGGTGAACTAATGTTACAACATAGAAATGACAGAAGTGTGCTTTTTTTGTGCTGTGCCTTTGGTTTAGCTCCCTGGCCAATAACCAGATGAGGTTTCTGCCAAGAGATCTCTTTTTTGACTTGGATTCGTTGCTAGAACTGTGAGTAAGCAGTTGTGGTGTCAGCAGTGTGTGTGTGTGTGTATGTGTGTGTGTGTGTGTGTGTGTGTGTGTGTGTGTGTGTGTGTGTTCTTTTTCCATACTGTGCTGTAAAGTGAAGCTGACTCATGCTGTGCTTTGTGATTGGCTGCATTAAATCCCACAAGAATGAAATGGACAGCAAATGGTTTGTTTCTTCTGTCCACCTCAATACTGTTGCTTTCGGGTGACTTTTAAATTGTCCTCACAACAATGCGTTCTCTGTGTTCTGCCAAAAGTGTTTATCACATAAACCGTAGGTAAAATTTTTCACGGACATATCAAACAGTCACTCAGTACAGTTCGTATTTTGTAGATGGAAGGTTTTTTTGTGCAGCACTATCATCTGGATCATCATAATTAATTTTGGCTGTCATGTAATATGTCTAAATTTGAGCTTCACTTTGTTGGGTCACACCTTAAATCACTCACCGAACTGTCTTGAGCCTTTGTCAATCTTTCTCAATCTTCTGCTCTTATCAACAAAAGACATTTTGCATATTTTAGCGTTTCTTCCAGTAAATGTGTCCAAACTGATTTTGTAAATGTTAATGACTCCCTCTCTGCCCTGTGTCAGGGACCTACGAGGCAACTCTTTCCAGTGCAGTTGTGAAAACAAGTGGCTGATGACATGGCTGAAAAACACGAACGCTACGGTATCAGATGTCTTCTGCGCAGGGCCCAGTGACATGAAGGGCAAGCGGCTCAGTGACCTTCCTATTCCACCGGGCGAGTGCATCTCCACGGGTAAAATGACGAGTGCACCATCAAAGGCATTTAGGAATAGTCTCAGGCACGGCTAAACATGTCATAAAAGAAAGACAGAAGAAATCAATCAAACTGTTGAATAATTAAACAGGACGCCACCATGCACCATTCTGGACTAAAACAAACAGGCTCCAGGCCTGCTGACATGTTTACATACACATACATATATATACACAAATACTCTCACACTACACACACATAAATATATAATCAAAAAAATACATAAAGGGCAAATATGGAACAAATTATAATACCTTTGTTTTTTTTAGTCTCAACTATTTGAAAATGTTTACCAAAATATTGTGGTGTAGCTATTACATCATTTCCTATTTCTCAGTTATATTGCCTCATCAGATTATAAGTAAAGAAACAACAGAATGCCAGTTCATGCCTAATATTACTATATTTTTACTAAACATTTATTTATAAATTTATTAGTTTATTATATACAAGTTTTGTTCTCTCCAAATGTGAACTTTAAAAATGACATGTTGATAGAAATTGAGATTGAAAGGTTTACACAGCATGAAAAATGTAACTGAAGCAGTGAGGTCCTAACTGTCCACTATTTCACTTTGTCAGCAGACTAACAGTGGTTGTTTTTGTCTGCATCTCACAGACTTTGTGCGTCATCAGTCCATTCCTATTCAGTCCATGTCATCAGACATATTCTCCTTTAAAGAGGACATCTACGTGGCGATGGCTGCCCCGAACTCCAACAGCTGTGTGGTCATGGAGTGGGATCACATTGAAATGAACTTCAGAAAATTTGATAATATCACAGGTTTGACAAAACCCACCCTAAATCTTTTTTTCAATAGATAAAGCAGGTGATATTCTGTATTCTTCTTTTGCCCATAAATCCCATAAAAGGCCCAAACCAACAATGAATTGGTGCTACAGAGAAGTTTTCCTGCCATGATACAACTTAATCCCCTATAACAACAGATTTACACATTGTTGACTTTGGTCTTTCGTTGGGTTCTTTGATTGCCAGCATTATCCTTAACGGTAAATTTGTAATTAGCCTTTCTTTTACATAAAAAAATTAGATTATTGATTTAATGTGAGTTAAAAATCCACTCTAATGTCATTTTCTGCGTTGTATTACCACTGATACATTTTTTCTCCTACAGGGAAGTCTGTTGTTGGATGCAAGTCGGTCCTGATTGACAACCATGTCTTGATAATTGTCACCCAGCTCTTTGGTGGCTCCCACATTTACAAGTTTGATGATCAACAGAACAAGTTCACCAAGTTTCAAACTATTGAGGTCTTCAACATCTCAAAGCCAAATGACATTGAGGTCTTCCAAATAGATGGCGATTGGTATTTTGTGATTGTGGACAGCTCCAAGGCAGGACTGTCAACGCTGTACAAGTGGACCAACCAACCTGACCGCAACGAAACAGGTTTTTACTCCTACCAGTTTCTCCATGAGTGGTTTCGTGACACAGATGCTGAGTTTGTCGAAGTGGATGGGAAGTGCTACCTCATCTTAGCCAGTCGGTCTCAGTCACCTGTCATCTTCCTGTGGAACAAAAGCACCCTGAAGTTCATACTTCACAGTGAAATCCCAAATGTCGATGACGTGGTGGCAGTCAAAGCTTTTCGGGAGGAAGATGAGTTGTATCTGGCCATGACATGCTACATCGGTGACTCCAAAGTCCTCAAATGGACCAATAAGCAGTTCACTGAGGTGCAGGCTCTGCCCTCTCGAGGAGCGATGATCCTCCAACCTTTCACATTCACAGACAGACACTATCTTGCTCTTGGCAGCGATTACTCTTTCACACAGATCTACCTCTGGGATGTGGAGACTAAAACCTTCCACAAGTTCAAGGACATTTATGTGCAGTCACCTCGGTCATTCACAGTCGTGACCACTGACCGGAGGAATTTCATCTTCTCTTCCAGCTTAAAGGGCAAATCAATGGTTTTTGAGCATATTATTGTAGATTTAAGCTTATAGTGCCTATAGCAGAATCATTACTAATCACAGTATGAGTTGGTCACTCAGATCAACATTGCGCGTATGCTACAAAGGAGTCTCAAACGCTGTATATCTTCCTTATGCAACTAGATAAAACTTTCTTGGTTTGAGACAAACATTTTTTGGAAAGTTTCTGCAACTCATATGCATTTCGAGCAATTATGGTGGTACAATTAATAACAGACCTCAAGTAATTAACTTAAAACTGAAGGCTGACAGAAATATAAAACAATGGCAACATTTGATATGTTAACAGCATGAAGATGATTTTTATTGCATACTATATCTTAAGAGGTGCTGGCTTTTATTTATTTCAGTTCTGCTGAGCTAATGGGTGTCCACTCCAACTATGACGACCTGGGAGTATAACCTGGTCACCCCACACAGGGAGTAAAGAAGTGGCCATTCATGTGAAAGTTGTTTACCACTGCAAGCTAAACGGTTACCCTAAAATGCTCTAAACTCTGTAAATGAAGTGATTTGTTTGAAATAACTGAGCAGCCAGTGGAGATTTTGAAGCCATCTAATCCCAGTAACTCTTATGACTGATGATTTAAATGTGCATGATGCAGAGGTTTTCTTATTTACCAAAATTACAGCAGAATGTAAATAAAATGAGCTTTAAGTGCACAACATTTATAACAAGCTACTGTATGAACAGAGTGCCTGATTAGTGGCAAAACTAAATATAATTTACTCCTGATTCCTATGCAAAATGTGTGATACTAAGTGTTGCTGCAATCACAAGGATAGTTGTGAGCTGTTATATAACTTGAAATGACATTTACATGGTCGTAAGCCATAAAAGTGTGCTCTTTTCTTTACTGATCTTTTGATATTTTTCATGCACTGTACAGATTTAATTACAGTCTGTTGGGCTTTGAACATTTCACATAACAAAGGCATGATGTGCAACTTGAGCCATGGTCTTTCACAACTGTCAAACTGCTGAATTCATCAAATGCTAACAAGATTTGAAGAAGAAATCTGTTTTTGTCGGGATTTCAGATTTCTTGAAAAAGACAGTAATGCCTTTATCCCCTATGTCCTACCTAATAATGATGTGTTTATTTTCCACTCTGCTACCCTTTGGCAATGAGGAAGAACAGATCTTTTACACAGCGCTACAGCTACAGCCTTCTGTCCTATGTAAGAATGAGTTTGTGGAAATGCATTAAAGAACATTTAACCACATGTGGTGTAATCATTTGTTTTTTACTCAGTCCTCCATTCTTGGCAGGCAGTGAAATGTGGCAATAACACAGACCGCCTCATGTAGACAGCATTTTCTTTCAACCGCAACAAAGAACAAATTACTAAAACACATGGTTTATTTTAGAGAAAAATAGATGAATATGGGTGTCTGTGTGTTCACCACATACTTGGGAAAGATCTCATAGACATACATAAGTATTAGCCAGAGGGTGAGACATATACATCACAATAACATGACAGTATCAAAGTGGATGAGAATATCACATAAACTATTCAATAAATAACCTCATTGGCTTTACCTCAAGATTTTAGTTAATTTGTAAAAACCGAACAGTACATGCTCAAAAGAAAGTGAAAATTCCCAGTAGTGTAATAAATAAACTGACATTTTGCCAAAACTTGTGAGGATGGGGACAAAATCAGAATAAATTATGCAAATCGTTATATCAATACTTCTACTTTTACTATTATTATTTTATCATCTATCATTTTAGCGATTAATCTTCCAGTCACGACCAGATATTAGATTATCCCAGTAAGATATTACGTATGAAACAGGACCACGAGTCTTTTTGGAATTAAGTGCGAATATTGTTCCTGGTTTTACTCGGGGTCTCCAAATGCGTCGTGACGCCTCTCTGACGTCGAGACGGACGGAAGTGATGCAGGTCGCGTTCCTCGATCAGTTAATCCGTTTTGATGCAAAATGTCTCTGAACTCAACACAACTAACATGGTGACACATACGATCTGAAACTCACCTTGTGTTACTACTGGCCTGTTGTTGTATTTGTTTTTCTGTAACACGGAGGAACATGGATCCTTCCCGGAGGAGCGAGAGTGACTGGCAGGGGCTGGTCAGTGAGGTGAGACTGGAAAGACGTAGAGAGGGGACAGAGTAAAAAAGCGTGAGCATGTTACTCACTAACCTCCGCTAATGTTAGGAGAAATGTCTTATACTCTGAACCATTATATTAATAGTGAACGTGCGTCGTTTTAAACCCTTTAAATTCCATGTGTCCATGTCTCTTGTTTGACGCACAGACAGTTAAAATATGTGGTCCAGATTAAACTGAGCAAACAGGATTCATTCTCAGCTCAGTCTGTGGAAAACGAGGAAGTAGATTTAAAAACAAAAAAAAATCTTTTCTCCTTGTACCTGCAGAGCCCTGTGTCTTACTGAGTTAATGGTATGTACAACAGCATGCACCACACTGCAGGTGTATTGACTTTTCATAGATAATCCACAATCATCAATATGTTTAGATGACTGTTGTGGAAAATAATGAAGTATATTTACTCAAATCCTGTAGCTAAGTACAATTTTGAACTACTTGTACATTACTTGAGTATTTACTTTTAATGCTAGCTTTACTCTACGTGTCTACTCCACTACATTTAAGAGAGAAAATTTGTCCTTTTTGCTCCACATTTATCTGGCATTTGAATTCCGCCCATTTGTCGATTAATCAATTAGTTAGATTTAGTTAATTATTAGATCGTAACTCAATCATCAACTATTTCGATAATCAATTAATCGTTCTGACTCATGTTTTGAGGAAGGAATTGCCCAAATTCTCTGGTTCCAGCTTCTGGGATGTGAATATTTTCTGGTTTCCTTTGTCTTCTATGGAAGTAAAACTGAATATTTGTGGCTCTTGGACATTTGTAGGCGTCACCATGTGCTTTGTGAATTTGTGACAGGCACCTTCAATTGTTTTTGTAGACATAACAACTAAATCTTTTATTTGAGAAAATAATGTTCAGATGGATAGGATGAGTAAAATAATTGTTAGTTAGTCCTGTCTGATAGCTGGAGATACTTGTCACTTTGCAGATTAACATTTTACACACACAAACAAACACATGATCAGTTTATAAAACCTGATGCTCTGTTACAGGTTGAACAACAGTATATGAAATAGTTAAATTTAGTCCCACTTCAACCCACAAAATCTGTTTAGATATCAATACATCACTACTGCTGATTCAATAGTATAATGGTTTAACTCTAACAAGGTTGGAGGACTTGTTGACATATTGAATACTTTTGCTTCTGATACTTTAAACTACTTTAACTCCATTTTGCTGATAGTACTTATGTACTTTAAATGCAGGAGTTTTTCTTTTGAAGGGGTACTTATTGTGTGATTAGTTAATGATCTCCCCCATGTCTATATACATACACTGATCGATTAGTTGATCGACAGAAAATTGATTGATAGCGGCCCTGATAATGATTAATCATTTAATTTACAGAGCACAGATGTCAAAACATTCTCTTCCCTCAGCTTCTCAGACGTGAGGGTTCGGGTTAAGTTAAAGTTAAGTTGAATATCTGTGGTTTTTGGAAGACAACACTTTGGGTTCTGGGAAATTGTGTTGGGCATTTTTCACAATTTTCTGACACAATAAGTTAAATGATTAATCAAAAGCATAATTGTCAGAATAATTAATAATCATTAGTTGCAGCCCTAAACAGGAGATTTTCCTACTTTAACAGATGTCATGATAAACATGACCATCATCAGAGGAAGTTTTTCATATTGTCTGCATTGCTTCATCACATTCTTTAATGAACAGATGAGAACTGCATAACTTCACTAATCTTTCACTGTTCACTTAACAATACCTCGGTCTTTTGTTCCTTTTATTACAAAACATTTGTTCCTTCATGCAGTTTCTAATTTGCAAGCGGAAGCTGGAGAGCAAGAAGGAAGCTCTTCTGATTCTGTCTAAGGAGCTGGACACCTGCCAGCAGGAGAGGGATCAGTACAAGCTGATGGCCAACCAGCTCCGCGAGCGGCACCAAGGCCTCAAGAAGAAGTACAGAGAACTCATTGTAAGACATCTCTGTGGGCTGCACCAGTACGGTCCTAGAGACACATCATAAGCTTCATAATAGGCAGCAAAATGGAGAATAAAAAGTGTCCTTGCCCTCTATTAAATGTTGGAGATGTTATATTCAGTGACAGTTTCCTTTGTCTTTATTACTAATAGGATGGAGATCTCTCTCTGCCTCCGGAGAAGAGAAATCAAGTAAGTGATTTTAACCTACTAATCTTCGTTCATTACTGTCTAACAAACTGCTGCAAACTGCTACTGCACACAAATACTGCAGAAATTCAGTATGGTCAGTAATGTGCACACACACCGCTTGTGTTTATTGATGTGGCTGGTTTTTATTTTTTATACATAAAACTTACCCAGTAGATGAGGGGATGATGACAGTTTTGAACCATGGTGAGTCCAGATGTTTCTGGGTGGAGCACCTTTGCTTTGTGCACAGTTCAGCAATACAAACCGACAGTTTTTAATTCATCATTGCCTGTGGGTGGAGAGCAGTTCCTGCCAGTGTCCATACCAACTCTGCTGTTCTGTTGTAGATTTAAGATAAAAAAAAAAAAAAAAAAAAAAAAAAAAAAGGATGGGGAAAATGTTTTCATAGAACCTTTGTACTGCACAGATATCCACTCCTTGTATATTTTTCCTCTGACAGCTGACTTAAACCTGGGTTGTCTCCCTCGTGTGACCTCATGTCTCCTCCAGGTGAATTTAGCCCAGCTATTGAGAGACTCCAGAGAAAAAAGTAATCAACTTTCTGAGGAGGTGAAGGAGCTGAAACAACGGCTGGTGGAAGCTCAGGGTGATAACAAGGTAGCAGGTTGTAATTTGTAACCATCAGAAGTCTCCAAGTATTAGTTTATAATCTACCTTAGATGCATTTTTATTCTTGAATATATCTCCAGCATATCCAGTATTTGATCAGAAAAGCAGTATCACGCTGTTTGCTCTATGCAGGAAAACGACGGACAATTTAACAGACTCCTGCTGGGTCTTTCTGTTCCTGCAGCTCCTACGAATGACCATCACCAAACAGAGGCTGGGAGACGAGGAGGTCGGCGCTCGACACTTTCCCGCACATGAGCGAGAAGATCTGGTCAAACAGTTAGAAAGAGCCAGAGAACAGGTGACGGCTGAGGCCCCGCAGCCCGCTCTTTAGTTTTCTGTCTTTTCTTTTCAGTTGCAATAGTTCAGCGTATTCAGGTGTTACTGGGTTAATGATTCGCAGTCAGTGGACGACAGTGTGACATTAAAGAACATCCTGTGTTATATTGCAAACAAATGTACAATTGTTGAACTTCAAGATGGTTTTAATGTTTGTGACACTAAGAGTTCGGTTTGATTCTTGCCTTGAATGATGCGGAGCGCATCATGAGTGTAAACCTCCCACTGAGAGAGCTGACTTTTTATAAATTCAGCTGTAACAAATCTTTGGTCATTTTGCTTGACAGAGAGATAAATTTGCTTATTACTGCTACTCTATTGCTATTATTGTGTAAAGAATGAGTCACATTAACCATGTTTTTCATTATTTAATTTTCAGCAAGACTTTCAGTTACTTTAAACAGATTTTCAACACATTTATTCTCAATCTGAACATTCGTTTTTCCATGAAAAAAAGCTGTGTCCACCTGGAGATTTATTGCCCTAAATCTGTCATAAATAAGTGAAGTTGTACCCATTGTTCCCATGATTAGACAAGATATGATAATAGGTGACAAATGTTTGAGGCAAGAATGAAACGGGCTAAATATCGTGTGTGTGGAACTGTTGTTTTCCTCAAATAGTGAAAAATACACACAGATATGAGACAATTAGATATATAACCTTTGAAGATGAACAGTGCTATCTGCAGATGACATCACAGCGTCTGTACTCACGCAGTGTGTTTTGTGTTGCTGTAGAACGAGGTGCTGGAGCACAGCGTGAAGTCGCTCACAGACGAGCTTCAGGATGTCCGAGCGGAGCGAGACGTGTTTCAGCAGAAGGCTCATCGTCTCAACGTGGAAATGAACCACATCGTGGGCAACGATGAGATTCGAATCCTAGACATAGATGCACTCTGCATGGAGAACAGGTTCGTTACTCTTTTTTAAAAAAAAAAAAACTTTACCGTCACCTCGGTTATATGCGAGTCTCTGCGGCAGTGTCCACAGCTGCAGGAACAATCTGAGTAAGTCCCACTACTTGACTAGTTCAATGAAATAATGTGTATTTTAGGATTTTATTGACTTTTTTTTTCTGAATCTGGGATTTTGATAAAAAATATTTCTTCCAGGTATTTGCACGAGCGCCTCAGTCAACTTCAGGAGGAGGTCAACTTGCTCAAAACAAATCTGGTGAAGTACAAGGTGGCTACATTTTTAAAATATAAAATTATGTTTTATAATAGTTTCTCAATTCCATAAAAGAAGGAGGCATGTAACTTTTTTTTTTTTTACAAAATTATAAATGTGGATTTGTTAGAAGGAAAAAAAATTTAATTTCTTCCTCGGAAACAAACCTCTCATGCTCACTAATGCCTCCCTCTGCTAACAGAGCGCCCTGGAGTGTAGGAAAAACTCTAAAATCTGTGGCAAAGCCAACAGCAGTGCTCTCACAGGGGTGCTCTCTGCCAAACAAGGTCAGAAGGATCATATTTTCAAAACCCTCACGCTTCACTATGCACAATGTGACAAAATACTGCACCATGTAAACATTTAAATGTGCGCTGAAGAAAAGGAATCTGTTTTTCTCTAAACTCTTAAATTGAAGGTAGTAGTTGGTCTGTACCTAAACTGTGACTGATGATGGTGTTTGTGTGTTTTTGTGTTTGCGCACGCAGTGAAGGAATTGTTGCTCTCTGAGGAAAACGGCTGCAGTTTGCCGGTGACTCCTCAGTCCATCTCAGACCTCAAGTCTCTGGCCACAGCTCTGCTGGAAACCATCCACGAGAAGAACATGGTGATTCAGCACCAACGACAGATCAACAAGTACTGACATTTATTCTTGACACTTTCTTCCTAAACATTTCTTTTAGGTCGTAATTTGTGGATGTTGGGCAGAACTCATGCATGTCTGTCTTTAAGTCTTTCTGTCTTTTGTCTTAAGGATTCTGGGAAATCGAGTAGCAGAGCTGGAGAAGAAACTAAAAACACTAGAGATATCTGGATTATGGAGCCTGCCAGGTGGATATAAATTGCTTGATATATTAAAACAAATATATAAATATATATATATACTGCACGCTAATTCACCTTTCTTATCGTCTTCTTTGTCCTTCTGCTTCTTGCTACCTGGAGGCCTGACTTATAATGTGTCTCTGGGAATTTATGGTAGTATGTCCCCCTATCTATTAACTACTTTTTTAACCTCTGAACTTCACCTTCTTCCATCACTTCTCATCTTCCTACATTACATTTACTCATCTATATCCAATCCAGCAGTTTTAAGTAGTGGTATACAGATGACTACATTTTAATCATATTTATTGGAGCTTACTTTGAGTAATATTTTGTCACGACAGGAGGAAAAGACACTATCATCCTGAGCACTCAGCAGGCTGAGTCACCAGAGTCTCCTGGACAGGAAGGTGAATATTCAGTGCAACTACACCTCTATGAGTCTGCAGCTATCTGTATTCAATCAGTATTTCTTGAATGTTACTCTTCTGTCTATTCTTACAGCTGACAAGGGGCCTGCAGATATACCTGCTGAGCAGCAGAGCTCCCCCGAGGTTCAAAACCAAGACGGTGACACACAAGTTGCATCAGCTTTTCAGGAAGAGACTCCACCACCATCCAGCGTGGAGAAGCCCCAGCAGAACCCTTCACACCATGAAGGGCCTCACACAGAAATACCAAACAACCACATAGAGACCACAGTGGATTTAACTGCTTTAACACTAGAAGAGGAGTGTCTGAGTGATTCCCCTCCCACGGTGACAGATGTGAACACACCCCGTCCTTCAGACCCTCACCACTTACCGCTAACTTTAGACAGCTCAGACACTACAGGAGGAAGAGGGGATGAGTCAGATGAATACACTGAAGTGGTTGAAACTGTCGAAACTGAGTGTATTATCACAGAGGAAAACAGTCGTGCTGCTACGCCCGACGCTGTCTCTGATGCGGCTGCTGAAGAGCAGCAGGACGACGACGCCGCCCGGCCCAACCAGGAGACAGAGCTTTCAGAGGAGACAGATGTTTGTGTTTGTCAGGAAATCTGACATCTTCCAGGAGCTGCATCAGGAGAAAATTTAAGAATAATTACAAAAAATGGATTTATTATATAATGATCCTTTATTTATTTTTATGAATAATGAAAAAAATCTGTGTGAGTGTGCCAAGACTGAGCTGCTAGGATCAACAGATGATTTGTTATTGTGTTTCAGTGGCCACGGCATGAAATTTCATGGTTGTCTAGGAAAAAAAAAAAAATCCTTAAACTGATTATTGTCCCACCTTTTAACCTCGTTAATCATACTATATGGCCAATAGTATGTGGACACTCAAACATTACAACCAAATGTGATTGTTGAACATCTTATTCCAAAATTATGGCCATTAATGTGCTGCTCTAACAGCCTGAACTGTTCTGGGAAGGATTTCCACAGGAACCTGGCTAAAGAGATTTGCTCCCATTGAGCCAGAGAATTGGTGTGGCTGGGCATTAACAGTATGTGATGTAGTTTATCCAAAAAGTTGTTGGTTTGAGGTCAGAACTCTGTGAAAGCCATTCAGGTTCTTCCGCACCAAACTCATCAAACCATTTCTTTATGGATGTCACTTTGTGTTTAGCGGCACTGTCAAGTTGAAACAGGGAAAAGGATCTTTCCTGAACTGGTGGAAGCTGCACATTCTGTGTCAGAGGTGTGGAGTGGAGAATCTGTGAAGTAGCGAACGAGGGCTATGAACTGGAACTGTGGCTGGAACACAACACAGGTGTGAAGATGTAGATTTGTCAGCATTCGATCATTAAAGATCATTTACTTTAGTTGTGCGAATCTTAGTTCTGACTCAGAGACTAAGTTTAAGGAGAATGTAATTTGCATTATGTTTCTGCTGTTAACTCTCCAGTGGGACACTGATTCAGATTTTGTTTTACAAGGAAATTATATTAAAAATGAAAAGAGGGACAAAGTGCAATTGCTGCTGTCAGTTGACCATCAACAGAAAGAGGCAGTGTCGCTTAGAAATTAAATGTTGGTCTGAAACATTCCCCTTTATCTTGCCCATGTTTCCCCCTTGACAATAAATAAACCTACCATATTTTATAAAACACTGTATCAAGAAGTAGACATTCCACTGTTGTGAACAATATTTAAGCCAGGCAGTTTTATTACCAGCTGCAGGGCTGGTTTTGTTTTCACTGTGTGTGTGTGTGTGTGTGTGTGTGTGTGTGTGTGTGTGTGTGTGTGTGTGTGTGTGTGTGTGTGTGTGTGTGTGTTTGTTTGTTTGTTTGTTTGTTTGTTTGTTTGTGTGTGGTCCTGGAGACACCTACTGTAGCAGGAATTACCACAGAGGTGGTTTTGAATAATTTGGCAGGTGGTTATATGTCTGTCTGTCTGTGGACAGATGTTTGTCAGAGCGACACTGTTATAACTGCATCTCAAGATGATCTCTAGTTTCTTTCTGCAAACATTATAGAAATGTTTCCAAACAGATTCTGTCCAGAAACCTTTTTCAGTTTTTTTTTTTTTTTTTTTAACTAAACATCGCTAAACAAGTTTTTGTTTTTTGAATCATGAAAGCACAATGTTATGAAAGCTATATAAAATCCTGCATGACAATATACAATTAATTGATTAAAGAGAACTGCATTTTCTATTTTAATCCATGCTTTTATTCCTTAACAGACATTTTCAAAGCAAATATTTGATGATTTACCACATGATTTGTCAGTTGACACTGAACAAACAGATCTTAGTTTAGAATATATTATATATATACAGAATGTATTAGTCTGTAACACACTGAAGCCACATCTAGATTACCAGCACTGATATCTTGTGTTTTTGTAACTCAGCAGATAGTAATTACATAGAGCCATATGTGTTTTCTGTAAGTGTTGAATGTGTACAAATGTGGATTTATTTCTGCAAAATAAATAATTTTCAACTACTGTTTTTGGAAAAACTGTATTTTAAGTATAAAATCCAAAACAAGAAGCAGTTTTCATCATGATTTGATATATTGTGACACACCGCCCTGAAAGTAAAGTTTGATACAGTATTTAATGCAGAATGTCTATTTTTGTAAGGTTTCATGCAAGGAGTCTAACTTAATGGGTTTTAGAAGAAAAAGCAAAGAATCACCAAAATCAAGGATACATCCTTTGGGAACCATGGATGTCTGAACCAAATTTGGTGGGTCACGTTCTTAAGGCAAGTTTCCACTACATCCAATAAGCTACTGTTGAATGTTTGGAAAGTGGTGATGTGATTGAATCATTGATTTTTCTTAGTATCAGACACAGAATACAACCGATACAATGACTGAATGAATACAAAGGCAACATCTGTGAGCTGATTAAAAGTATACAGCACTACTCTACTCTAATTTCTCCTCAGCGGCCTGTTATTCTGCTTGTTGTACATGTTCCAGAGAGTAGGAGAGGAAATCCCGATAATGCAGCAGCCAAGCCTGCGGCCTGCATTTCCATGCAGCAGGCTCCCCGCATCTCCACCACGCCCTAAGTCATCTCTCTTTTCATGGACCACCACTGCTCTTCCGATCACAGAAAGCTCTTTGAACAGTGTTGCCTCAGATTCTATCAACGTATTGATTTTTCCTTCCTGGGGCTCAAAGTTCCCAAAGTCTCCCGGGTGGTTTGGATGATGTACACCACGTGGATTGTAGTGGCCACCTGTGGAGTCACACCCCTGTCTCAGGTCTCCGTACTGATGGATGTGCACCGCTCTAGGCTCTGGATTACCCTCCGTGGGGAAGCCATTAAACCGGAGAAGGACTTTGAGTTTTCCATGAGGATAATCCTGCTTAAACAGCACCTGACCGTACACTTTGGGCAGACCCTCGGGTATTGTTGAGCTGGGTCTCATTTTGCACACTGCATACATGGTGCCATTGTGCTGCGAGACTTCTGGTGGAGCCAAAATGTCATTGTCAGCTGAGACACATTGTTGACAGACTGCCAGGAGGACCAAAAGAGCAATTTCCAATAGACGCACTGACCTGAAAGATATTAAAATTATTATGACGATGCATTAGATTAATAAACAAACAATAGGTTTTGCATGAAAATAGCAAGTAAAGTAAATGAGGAGCAGTGAAAGCAGCATTTAGAGCCTTTAGTTAAATGGAAGCAAAAACACACTATATAAATATTTTGTTATAGGTAAAAGTCCTGCATTACTCAATGCACATGTATTGTCAGAAAAATGTACTTAAGCATCAAAAACCCCTCTTTATATTTATATATAATATCTCCTTTCAGGAAGAAAGAATCATTATATTTTAGGAGCATTTTAATGTTGCTGGAGTTGGAGCTCATTTAAATACTTACTACATAGTTGGATGATTGATTACACTTTTATTAAAATCATCATATGTTTTATATTTAAAATATTCATCTAAAAGAAAAAACTTCCGTTGACAAAAATATATAATGGAGTTAAAGGTAAAATTTTTCACTTTACAATGCGGTGGAGTGGAAGTATGACGCAGCTAAACAAGAATTACTAAAGTACCTGTAAAGTACCTAAAATTTGTATTTTGGTGTGGTTTAATGTACTTTAGTAAATGCACCACCGTGAAAGTAGTTCAGTCAAAAAAGTGCAACCTTTACTTCAGAGTTTAACTACAGAGCAGCAGATATTAAGCTCCAACACTTAAGAAAGGGCCCATGTGACTGTTATTTCTCTTATTTCTCAACAAGGACAATATGCCCGTTAGTGCATGTCAAACTCCAATACTTGTCAATTTTGACACATTTAAAATGAATGCACAAAACATTAAATTAACTATACTGTATGTTTATGCCCTAACAAGAATAAGGGGAGAAATGCGACATGCAGACTGTTCTTACCACTGGAAAAACATGATGTCGCAGTGTTTTACCCTGTTTAAATAAAGTTAATTATCCCACACAAGCCAAAACGAGACTTCAGATACCGTCATATAAGCTGAGTCCACTTACCCGTGAAAACGCATGGTCAGCATGAAAAAACGATGGGAAACCTGTTGGTAAAGAGTTTTCACTCTTGTTGAATGGTTCCGTGTTTATCGTCTGACTATGCGATATGTTTCTTAAGTGTTGTATAAGCGTGTCAGTGGGCGTTGCTTGTTGAGGGTGGAGCAGACCTTCACAGGACACTGTCAGTTTCTTTTTCATCATGGAAGATTGATGGTGTGGGCTGGTCTTCACTTTTCATTGTTTTCTCCGTTTATGAGCGGCTGAACCTGTGTTTTTCAGCTCATGTTATAGGCTATTTGTAGGTAGCTGTTTGTTGAATAACCTTAGAAACTTTCCTGCCGTCCATTAGGCCTGGTCTAAACTCTCCTCTTAAGTAACTGCCCAGAAAACACATCTGAAGTCTATCATCTACAAAACAGGGAAAATTGACAGTTTTTGACAGAATGAGTTTGAATGTTAACTTGTGCTTCAGGGAATAATGATGGGCCTTTTGACAATGGCAATCAGCTAATTATTTAAAAAAGAAAAAGAAAAAAAAAAGCAATTGCCAGATGTATTGATAATGAAAATAAACATTGGTTGCAGTCTTATTGTAATGCTGTGATGGAACAATACTATTTTACAAGGGTTTCTCTGTATTAATGAATTGACACAAAAAAATGAAGCAATCTGATAAAACAACTTCAAGACAAACGAGCAAATTAGCAGTTAAGGCCATAAGACTTGTTTGTCTACAAACAATTTTGTCTTCAAGACAAGGCTGATATCTTTACTGATATTTTACTTGAAGTGGTTCATTCGTCTAACAATTTTGTGATAAATCAAATTATGTGAACTCAGTATATGGTGTAAATCTGGGACTTTTGGGGTGTCTTGAGGTAGACCCTCCAGACCAGTAGGCGGCGGTAAATGAAGTCTGTAAAAACTAATGTGAAAAGAATAAAACACTCCAGTTCAGGAATCAGGAAACCAAGTTAGTTGCATATCGCCCGGCAGAATTGTATTCACGTTGATTGATTGACGATAACCCAAGTTTATCCCCCCCCAAAGATGTCCAAAAGACATCGCCTGGATTTGGGTGATGACTACTCCTCCAGTAAGAAGAGGTCTGATGGGTAGGTGAAGCTCCACAGTTTACATGTCTGCTCTAACCACTCCGGTGCTAACCGACTGTTAGCTGATGCTAGTTAACTTGGCTAACCATAAAATCTAAATCATAAAATCAGCTGGAATAATGTACAATAATGTAACCTTAGCTGTTAATGTTCTAGTTCTTTTCTTACCCGCTGCTTCTCAGCATCCCAAATGCTCCTGTGGTACATGATATTCAATATATTTAATTTGGTGTTAAGTTAATGTAAGTAGCTGCTGAGGACGGCTCAAGCTAACAAACGAAGCCTCAACGTTTCCATCACGGCTGAGACACGTGTGTGTGTGTGTGTAGGGCTAACCTTACTTGGCGCGGTGCTAACAGCTCCAGTCAGCCACTGTTAACTGATTTACGCCGAGTAAAAACTAGCTACAAAAACGTAAACTGTGATTTGGTTTGTGAAGCAAACCGTTATCTAGATACACTTACAAGTTACCAAATAAGGGTCTGTTGACAGAACCAGTGCATTAGCATGCTAGCTAACGGCAGTCAAAGAGAACAGCTAACAATTATTTGTTATTGATTAATCTGTCAACAATCCTCTGCATTAATTGATAAATTCACAGCTTTCCCAGTCTCTTAAAATAAAAATAACATTAAAACAGCTTTTGCTTGCTATCATGAATTCGTCCTGTCATTAAAAACGATCCATTCATAATAGACTTTTTAGGGAGTGCGTGACAAAAATAAATCTGTATTCATTAGTTAATCTGAAGCTAATATGAGACTTCAGCACTCCCAGTTGAACAAATGAAGTGGCTATCATCCAAAGTGATTGTCTCTCTAGTGTAAAAGTCCCTCAAGTTTCCCTGTTGAACTACAGTGGAAATATAGTGATTAAAAGAGGGAATGTTTCTACTGAAAGCTGTAAATTTGAAAGACACTCACTTGAATTGGCTCATTCAGACTGCTGAAGCCTCATATTAAATTCAGCTGAACCGAAAAATACACTTTTGCACAAAACAAGGAGGGATAGCGTCTTTGCCCCCCCCCAACTTGCATTAGGAAGGGATTTTGTAATGACCAGTAGGATTAGGAGGAATGATTACAGTAAGCAAAACCTGTTTAAGTGTTCTTATGGACACAAGGCTATTCCTGTAAGACAAACTGATTACTAGATGTGAACCTGTCCTTTAGTCAATATTTTTTTTCCCTATTAAAAAAAAATAAAAATAAAAAATCAGTTGTCTTATTCAACAAATGGTATAAAACCCATACATTTAGTTTATGGTAATATTCATTCTGAAAAATGAATATTTTTGTAATTATTGCTTGAAAAATCCCTTGAAAAGTTTTATTTGATTTATTTGCTTAATGTACATTGTAAACTGGCAACTGAGTGTACATTAGAGCTCGATCTATAAGTCACCCAGGCCAGTCTATTGGCTAATACTAGCTTATCACAGATATATCAATTTGTACAATAATTGAAAAAATGAGTTTAAGGGGTCCCTGTCAAAGAGGAAGAATACTGCTCAGTGTATTGTTATCAAATTTAAAGATCCAGTGCCTGTAGGATTGTAATGTACATAATGCAGATTAATGCTGCTTTCATGTCATATCTTGGAGATATGGCAATTGAACTTCAGATATCTGATATAAATCTGAATTTGATATATATCTGAACTTGAAGTTCAGATATAGTCAACCTGGCTTTTATTTTTATGATAAGGAAGTGCCTTATTATCCAAACAATTATGAATGCTTCACATCCACCAAAGTCCAACCAATTCTACAATCATAACTGTCTTGAGTTTTCCTTTGAGGTAAACGCTTACAAACTTCCCACAATCCGTTCCATATGATGTGACGTGAATGCAGCATAAACTCGACTGATACTTGAAGTTTCATAATGATTTCTTTACAAGCGAAATGATTATAACAATTTGTTGCCATGATGTTGACAGGAGAGACCGTGACCGTGACAGAGACCGTGAGGACCGCTCCAGGGACAGGGACCGAGATAGGGATCGGGACCGGGACAGAGACCGGGACAGAGACCCGAAGCCTTCTAGTGCGCCAGTTAACAGCACGGCAGCCGGGCCAGTCTTACCACCCATCAAGCAAATGGTTGTGCACCAGCAGATCAATCCATTCACCAACCTACCGCACACACCGCGTTACTACGAGATCCTGAAGAAGAGGTTACAGCTTCCAGTGTGGGAGTACAAGGAAAGCTTCAGCGATATCATCACACGTCATCAGAGCTTTGTGCTTGTCGGAGAGACTGGTTCTGGGAAGACGACACAGGTCTGAAATGCAATAAATTGACCTGTGTCTTACGTGCTAGATACTAAAAGCTTGTGTTGTGCACACTAACAGCCTTGCAACCTTTGCTTCTTCAGATCCCACAGTGGTGTGTGGACATGGTGAGAGGTTTGCCTGGTCCCAAGCGAGCGGTGGCCTGTACTCAGCCCAGGAGAGTGGCAGCCATGAGTGTGGCTCAAAGAGTGGCAGATGAAATGGACGTCATGCTCGGACAGGAAGTCGGTTACTCCATCCGATTTGAGGACTGTAGCTCTGCCAAGACTATATTGAAGTAAGTGATTTAGAGCTGCTAACGCTCAAAAACAGCTTTTTATAGAGCAATCAGTCGTATTTGATTTACCCCAGAATGTCTTAATCCAAAAAATCATGTCTGTTATTTCTTCAGGTACATGACCGACGGTATGTTACTAAGAGAGGCGATGAATGACCCACTGCTGGAGCGATATGGTGTGATCATTCTGGACGAGGCCCACGAGCGAACTCTGGCCACAGATATCCTGATGGGAGTACTGAAGGAGGTGGTGCGTCAAAGACCAGATCTGAAGGTATTTGTTCATTTTTGAATAAAAGTCATAAAATTTCTTTCTTCTTTGTGATTTCTTTGTGAATGTTATGTTTTGCTACAGCCGGGTGATTTTCTAAATTTATTTTTGGCTGATGATAATAAAATGAATACCGTAGAGTACAGCACTGTGCCACTTTGATTAGTTTATTCATTTATTTAAATTCCACTGATCATGAGAAGGTAGGAAATGCATGCTCTACAGCACAGACTGGAGGAATAAGCTTGTCCTTTTTTGATAGTTGTCATATTATTATTATTATTATTATTATTATTATTATGACCATACACAGCTTATTTAGTATTAAAGATTAAAAAAAGAAAAACACCACACACAGGATGGTTCATTGGATGACAAACAGGGAAGTCGTTTGCACCAATAAAACAGAGGCACATAATTTTGGCGCAATAGTTTCTGCGTCAGTTAACTGAACAAATTACAGCTTTTTTTTTTTCCCCTCTCGATCAAACAAATGTTATTAAAAAAAATCTACCAACATACAGAGTAACTGCTGCTTAATGGACCATATCAGAGGTTTTCCTTGTGTTGGCCAAATTACAACAAATATATATGTATTTTACATGACAGCAAACCCCATGCTCCTGCTTTTTGGACTTTTTAAAATGTATTTTCCTCATTGTTCAAGGCACACACTGGTTTCCATTAACTTCTGTATGATATGAAAATGTATTAGCAAACTCTTGAAACTTGCTTGATTTGTGTAAACCATCACACTGCATTAACACTGCATTAAGTTTAGTTAAAGTTGCGTCATGGTTGGGAGGTATCGGAGCTCACACTTTCTAAATCAATCTCCAGTGACACTGTGTTGCCACCCAGTGAAAATGGAACAAAAACTGAGGCTGACTTACTGTGCACTAGGATGAATTATGCAATTCAGTCAGGTTTCAAGACTTTGCTAATAGATTCATACACATAGAAATTAATTACTGTACATTTGAAACAAAACTGTAAAGTGTGATTTTTGTAGGCCAGGGGCTAAAACACAAAGACACACGGGTTATGGTCTTTTTAAACAAATGTGAGTAGAAAAAGAAACTTGAGTGATGCTTCCTTCATGGACAGGTGATCGTCATGAGTGCCACACTAGACGCTGGGAAGTTCCAGATCTACTTCGACAA